TAATATGTATTGGTGTGGGTTTTGGGGATCATCTTATTTAGACCTCTCTGGGCTTTCTGGATCTGGATGTCTGTCTTTTCCCTCAGGTTAGGGAAATTTTTGACCATTATTATTTCACATAAGTTTCTGCTTCATTCCCTTCCTCCTCTGCCTCCTCCTCTTCCCCCTTCTAGGACTCCTATAATGTGTCTTAAACTATCTTCGCTTTTTAGATTCTTCCTTACATTTGCTTCTCTGATTGGTTAGTTTCATTACCATGTCTTTGAGTTCACTGATTATTTCTTCTGTTTCATCTAGTCTGCTGTTGAATCTCTTTAGTGTATTAGTTCAGTTCATATATTCTTCAGCTCTGTGATTTCTGTGTTCTACTTATATCTTTTATCTCTTTGTGGAATTCTCATTTTGTTCATGTAATGCTCTTCTAAACTGGGTGACCATCTTTATGACTATTATTTTGAACTCCTTATCAGATATATGACATCTCCATTTATGGAGGCCTTTATCTGAGATTTTTATCTTATTCTTACATTCAGAATATATCCTTTTGTTTCCTCATTTTCCTTGACTCTGTGTGTTGGTTTCCATGCATTAGATAAAACAGGCACCTCTTCCACCTTGAAGAGGTGACCTCATAGGGCAGACCAACCTTGCTGTTCAACCCTGCCCTACTCTTGCTTGTCAAGCTTTGTGGTTGTCTAAACAGCCTACTTTGTTGTTAGTGGCTCAGAGTATTGAGGGTGTGCCAAAGCCTTCAATGTCCCAAAGGGGAGGATCTCGCTCATCACCTAGATTCAGGCTGATTGGAATCTAGACCCTTAGGCAGCAGCTTTCAAAGTCTGCAAATGTATTCCTTTCAAGGGAAGAATGGGAGGTGGGCCTTTCTTTCTAGTGCCTCTGCACAGAGCCCTGGGATGAAGGCCAGCTAAGACTGTTGCTTTGTTTGCTATCACCCTATTGAACCTGTGAACACAAGCCCCACTTGCCAGCAAAGCCAGGCTACTAAGGGATATGTCATCTGTGTGGCAGGCCCAGAAGCTAGGTGTCAGGCATATGGACAGCTTTAGCCTTGAGATACAGCAACTGGCGGCAGGGCAGAGGGAGAGTGCAAAGGTGGCACTTGCCAGCCTCCCCCTTCTCTGGAGAGGATTGCAGTCAACCCCTAGATGTGTGTTTAATTACATGTTTGCCCCTCAGGCCACAGCTATGAAGGTAAGTTAATAAGCCTTTCTCACAGAAAGACTAGGCATCTGTCTGCTGCCTCTCCACTGTGCTCTAGGTGGGGTTGGGGAGGAGCGGGACAGCATGTTAGGAACTGTTTTCTCTGTTTGTTACAGTCCTGTGGGACCCAGGAACATGGACACTGCTGGCCATCAGAGCTAGGTGGCCAAGAGGTGACTCCTAGGCTGTAGCCACAAAAACTGGGGTGCCACACATGGACACAGGCTCCTCTCCAGGAGATACTGGTGAACTGGAGTGAGGCAGAGGGAGCACTCAAGCGTGGCAGCCCCCTGCCTCCTTGGTCTTTGGAGAGTGTGTCGTCAGTTTGCCCCTAGTTGTTAGATTAGATACCTGCCCTTCAGGCTGAAGCTTCAAGTTAGGCAAATAGTCATTTTTCCCAGAGACTGGGAATTTCACTCGTCCTCTGCAGGGACCCATGGAGTATAACTGTGATGAGTCTGCGTGTGTGAACTCTTTAAGAGCTATTTCTCAGTTCACTATAGTCTTATAGTTTTCATGGACACAAGCCCCATTGGCTTTCAAAGCTAGATGTTTTGGAAGCTCATCTCTCAGGTACAGATCTTAACAGTTGGGGTGCCACATATAGGATTCAAACCCTTTACTCAGGGAGATGCTCAGAGCTATGAGTTCCCTCTCAATTGTGGGTTGATGCACCAGGGGTGGGGTTTATGGTGAGATTGTGTCTCAGCCTCTCCTATCTATTTTGATACAGATTTTTTTCTTGTTTACTCAATGTGTAGGAATTGTTCAGCTAGTTTTGGGATTTCTTTTAGAGGAATGTTGCATATGTAGCTGTAGATTAGGTGTGTACATGGGAAGAAGCAAGTTCAGGATCCTCCCATGTCACTACCTTGAACTGGAATTTCATAAATATCATTTATTTGGTTTTGGTGTTCAGATACCTGCTTAGAAATGTCAGGCTTCTCCTTAGAATGTGAACTCCATTTGGGCACAAGTTTGGCTTGCTCATGGTTCAAGCTCCAATCATGGGCATGTAGTAGATGCTCAATCAAATTTTTTAAATAAAGGAATGAATACATCCCTCCATCTTTGAATGCTCTCATTGAGAATAAGGATATTGTCTTTTATTTATTGGTTTCTCCAAGGACTCAAGAAATGTTTGTTTTCTGATGTTTTATTCATTCAACAGTTCTTATTGAGCATCTGTTACATGCCAGCCACCATGCTAGGTAATGAGGATGAACTGAGAACACTTGTCTTCACAGACATTAGAGAGAGAGAATGAACAATAATTAACCAGCAAATTATTTGATGTTTTTTTAGTGATGTTGAAGTGTAATTAATATCCTCCCTTACTTCCTGTTTCTGAAGAACAAAGTGTTACATCTTTTCTCTAATAAAATTATAGAGGATGCAACCTCTGCTAGGGAGATAACAAATTTACCATCCCTCCAGAGGAAAGAGGAATACGTTAATTAGTAAACGGTAACAACTCTGGAAAGGGTAGGACAGTGATAAGGACAAGAAAGGGGCAATGGCAAAAGGCTTGCTGCCACAAGGCAGAGTTTCTCCACAGCTGAGCGGCGGCTCTGCCAGCCTGCCATCGATCCTGACTGCTATCACCACACAGCTGTCCTTTCCAACCTTGAAGTCCCATCATGATGTTTACAGTGGATGATTTTGAGCAATTGACCCTGAACTAGCTGTTGCCAAGATATCCCTGCTTCCTACTCCCAGCAGGAATAGTAAATCTGCCTGTGTGCTGTCTTCCTCCATTTTAAGGCACATAACAATGAAATCAGAGTAGGAAGTAAAGAGAGTTGTCTCATGTAAAAATGGTCTTGAGCCTTAAAAACCACTTTTTCATAAATAAATGAATTATTTCATTTGATCCTTTTAAATCCATATTAGGTTGAGGTTTATAGTTAGGGTGTTCATATACCCCTAGTTAACCCTTCTGTTGTCTCAGCATCCCGTCTGGTTTAGCATTGCCCTGGATTTTTTTAATGGCCTTAATTTTGTTTTAAAGAAGTTAGGTTCACAGCAAAAATGAATGATATTTACAGAGATTTTTCATATACCTCCTACTCTATATACACATAGCCTCCCTGACTGTCAACATTTAGCACCAAAGTGGTACATTTGTTTCAATGAGTGAACCTACACTGATATGTCATTATTACCCAGTGCCTACATAGTTCACAGTAGGGTATTATATTGTATGGGTTTTGACACATGTATAATAACATGTATCCAATATTATTTACTCTCGGTGTTAAATATTTTATGCTTCTTGACACCTATGATAACATGTATCTAGCATTATTCCTATAGAATAGTTTCTTGGACCTAAAAATCTTCTGTGCTTTGCCTGTTCATCCCTCTGTTTTAGACTATTTTATTTTTTAATAAACTGTTATTAGAATTTTATGTTAAAATATGTTTAAATCTTTTTTAAAATCCTCACCCAAAGACATGCTTATTGACTTTTAGAGGGCAGGGGGAGGGAGCGAGAGGGAGAGAAACATCAACGTGAGAGAGGAATATCAATCGGTTGCCTCTCGCACATGCCATGACTGGGGACTAAACATGCAACCTGGGTATGTGTCCTGACCAGGAATCAAACCTATTTTTGAGAGAATTAGTTTACAGATTGATTTTTCAACATCATAAAATTACTTTCTTGTTTAAAAAAAATTTCAAAAAATTATGTAAATTTAATTTTTTTAGAATCTCCTTTACTTTCAGTGGGTCCCAGTTTTGAAGATTAATTACATGGCCTCCATAATTATAGTCTACATTTTAAGGGGAGAAAACCAAGAAACTCCTCTCTCTGTATGTGGCCAGTCAGGCGCGGAGCAGGATTAAAGCCCAGGTGCTCTGACTTCTGGTATTTTCTACACCAAAAACACACAAAGCTCACTGGCAAGGCAATTCAGATCTCAAAGTTGATCACATCCTTACCTTTGTTTAAAGTAGTTTTGAAAGTAGGATTGCTCCTACATTTCTAATTCAGACATGAGAAAATTCACTATGTAAATAAATAACAAACCTACTAAGGAACAGAACAGACTGCAAGAAGACTGAGACATCCCAGCTCAGGCAAGGCAAGAAGACCTGCCAAGAGGGTAAAATATTACAGAGGTGGATGTTCGAATTTAAAAGAGGGACTGTGCTTTTAGAGAAGATTCCATAAATTATTTGATGTTTGATGGTATTTTGAGACTGAAATTAGAGTTTCATTTGCATATTTCTGGGACACGGTGCATCTGTTCTCCCACAGAATGAGTCTGGGTTCTGAGTGAATACATATTAAACTTGCCTAATAGGATAATTAACCATTCTGTAGTATCAGCCACACATAATTTTTAATGCAATGTTAACATCCTGAAGATTGAAGTGATTACTAACTTTTCCGTAGCAAGTCAGAAGGAAATAATTTCAAAAAGGGTTAAGTTTTCATAAAGACCGATTACTCCTCTTATATTCGTTTTAAGATGTGGTTTTAAAAATATATCCGGCTGTAAACACAGATAATTATCCCAAGTCAGACAGGAAAGAGTGATCACTCTTTTGCAAAATAGATTATAAGGGGTGGGGAAAATGACCAGCAGACCAGCTCATGTAAGGAAATGGTAAGTAACACAGAATGGTGTGTGGAGTTCATCCTCCACTCCCAGGAATTTTTAAGATGCGTTGCATTAGATGCCATCCTAGTGAAAGGATATTTACTTTAGGTGTTTCATTTGTAAGTGATGTGAAGGTACACTTTTATTTGACTTCTGTATTTGACTTGTCAGGCCTCTCTATCCGGAGCGTGTGCTGGAAAGCAGACCGCCTTCTAGCAGGGACCCAGGACAGCGAGATATTTGAAGTGATTGTGCGAGAACGAGACAAGCCCATGCTGATCCTGCAAGGCCACTGTGAGGGGGAGCTCTGGGCTCTAGCCCTGCACCCCAAGAAGCCGCTGGCTGTGACAGGCAGCGACGACCGCTCTGTCAGGTGAGGCCCCAGCTATGGCCATTGTTACCTCACTGACTCCTTTAGGATAGCAGGTTGATTTGGGCTAAATTTGCTTGTTACTTAAGAGAAGGATAAAACGCAGGGCAGAACCACACAATATCCACTTGGAATATGGAGACACTTAGCTCTACAGCAGTTGACCTCTTGGCATTTTGTTATCTTTCTTTGGCTCCATTTTAAGTCTTGGAAATGTTCTTAGAAGTGAAAACACTGTTGGTGAGATCGGCTTCCAGTTCTGAGCACTACGCACACTCCTCTGTGTCAATAGCCCATTTCCCCTCTTACTCGGGCCCTGAGCATGGGATGCACAGCCGTTTCACAGCTGAGTCCCAGATACTCATTCATCACCATTCTGACTTGCAAAGTTTACAAAACTTACATTCTGATTTGCAAAGTTGTCTTCATCCCATGAGTAAATATTTCTTTATACATTCTCAGATGAAATTTTGAACATTGTCCTCAAATCAAAGTGAGTGCTGGTTCCTGAGAAAATATGCAGTTTTATTAGGGCCTCAAGGGTTCTTGCAATGGATCACATGGTAGTGTTTGAGAGCATGACATTGCCTAAAAGGAGGGATGTGGGCATGCTTCCAAAATTCTTGTGACTGTCAAAGGACGGATCATATGATTTGAAAATGTGAGATGAACACTATTACACTGATCTCAGGATTTTCATATTTATTATTAAGCTTTAAATGTGCTTAACAACAAACAGGCCAGAAAAAGACTGAGTGACAGAGGAAGAGACTGATTAATCGATCCGATGTTTGCTGCCTCTAGATTTTAATAGTTAAAATAGAGCATTGTAAACTAGACTAAAGGTTCCTGATTCCCCCTTGCCCTTATATCTAATCAAAATACAATCGGTATACTTATCGATAAAGTATAATCTCAAAATAAGTCCACTTTTTTGTCTGTACCATGCACCAAGTCTAGTCAATCTAAATGCAGTGAGGATGACTCCAGTTGTCTCCTCGTGTGGCATAAATGCATATTTGGCTTATATTTGTCTGTACTCACTTTCTCCTCTTTCCTTCCTTTTCCCTCCATTATGCTGAGCTTTCCCTAAACAGCCAAAACAACACCAACAAATTATTCAAACACCTGAGAAAATCAAATCATACCCATCCAGATGGACATGATTTCAAGAAAGTCTTTGGCTTTTGGGTTTTGATAACTGTACTGAGTGCCAGACTTGCAAACTTCCCCAAGGAGCCCTGATGGCCAGAATTTGTCTTTTTCTTCTTAACCATTAATGTGGCTAAAATTTTTAATGTAATTGTACACTGAGTATGGGAATTTGAAAGGGTATAAGTCATAATTTCTTGAGAAAGATTAGCTGAGTGATTTTTGTAAGGATAGTACAGTTTACTGAGGAGTGATGGTAAAGGAAAGCTTACATTGCTGAAAATAGTACATGGCTAAAAACAGCATGAGATGATGAATAACGGACAAGGTTTTGAAAGAATAACGTAGGCTTTGGACTGAACAGTGCAAGCCGCCTAAGGGATCAGTAAACTATTCACGGTGCAACTCTGCATTGTAAGGAGCTTGCCCCATCCTTCCTGATGACAGAATGCATTAGAGAAATTCTACCACATGTGACTTATTCTTGACTCTATGGTATAACGCTAGATTGTTGGTCTGCCTAGCAGAGATTGTTGTATGTTAAGAGAAGACTGTTACTAACAAAGTACTCAAAGTACTAACAGGTAGAAATGAGATACCCCAGTTGGAAGACACATGTAAACCCTCATTTGTAGCTTCAAAAATTTAGTTTATGTTTACTCAGTTTGAGGTGCCTACGATAGATATTCCTGGAGCTGCTGAAAACTGTGAGGTGCACTTGACCCTTGACTCCCATTTCTCTAGTAGGAGCTGTGTTTGTCAGCCAGGGGTACTGTGGAGTATCTGCCCCAACCATGAGTGAGCCTATCAGCAGTGGGATGCCCAGGGAGCTTATGAGGAAAGACAGCGTGTGACTGTAGACAGCTGACTTTGGAACTGTCTTGGGCAGGGGTATCATGTACTCTTCTCCATCTCTGCTATTTTCTTTCTAGGGAGACCAGAAGATGGAATGTGTATTTCAATATATATCTGTTTACATAATACACTTACTAGAAGGGTACTCATTTTTTTACAAAAACTAATAATAATAGCATCTCGTAGTGCTTCTTATCCTATAAGAGTTACTAATAACCATTGGTATAAGTAAAGAGCAATTTTTAATCTCCAAAGGGAAAAGTGAGATTTTGTGTAAAGGTAGTGTTTAAAATCACCTTTTTCTATGTATATCAGAATCTTTGGAAATGTCATCTCATTTTATATTTTTTGCTGGGTATTTCTGTTGCGAGGAATGACCCAAAGATAGACTAAACACCGTCCCATGGCGGGAGGAAGGACACCTGTGAAGTTACAGCAGCCTTTCTTGTTGTTATCGCACGTGGTGAGCAGGCCTTCCTGCCTTGGGCTGCCTGATGATGATGAGAGGTGGTTCGGTTTTGTTTCTCACTGTGTTCTTGTGCTCAGGCTGTGGAGCCTGGCTGACCACGCCTTGATCGCCCGCTGCAACATGGAAGAAGCTGTTCGTAGTGTGGCTTTCAGCCCCGATGGATCGCAGCTGGCCCTGGGCATGAAGGATGGCTCTTTCATTGTTCTCCGAGTCAGGCACGTATACTGGCATTGCAAATGGCATTAAAGATGCCCTTTTGTAAAACACGAACAAACAAAATAGAAACAGACTCCTAGATGCAGAGATCAGACTGATATGGCCAGATGGGAGGATGTCAGGGGGCTGAGTGAAAAAGGAAAAGGAATTAAGAAGTAAAAATTGGCAGTTACAAAATAGTTATGGGGATGTAAAGTACAGCATAGGGAATATAGTCAATAATATTGTAATAACTATATGCAGTGCCAGGTGGATACTGGAAATATTGGGTGAATATGATTGTTTAACCACTATGCTGAACACCTGAAACTAACACAAAATAATATTGAATGTAAATTGTAATTGAAGCCTGGGCCAGTGTGGCTCAGTTGGTTGGAGCGTTGCCCTGTACACCAAAAGGTTGTGGATTTGATCCCTGGTAAGGACGTGTACGTAGGTTGCGGGTTCCGTCTTTGGTCAGGGCGTGTATGGGAGGCAACCAATCAACGTTTCTGTCTCACATCAAGTTTCTCTCTCTTTCTCTTTCCTTCCCTCCCCCCCATCTAAAAATCAATAAACATATTTTTAAAATTAAAGAAAATAAACTAATTGAAAAATAAAATTTAAAAAGAAATAAAAAAGTACTCTTGTTAGAATTAAGGTTCTTGTGGTCATAAATGTGTTGCGGGACCTTAGGAAAAACACACTGACTCTTTCAAATAAGACACTTCAGATTCAGCATCCCCTGTCTGCCATGGCAAAATCTAGATGCTCTGAAAACGCAAACCTCTTTGGTGATTTTTTTGCCGGTTCAGCCTGCCCCAGTAGACTGATGTGAGACTGGATATAGTCTATTAATCTCTTAGCAGGAATAATCATGTATCATGTGATTTGCTGCAAAAATATTAATGTGTTTAATACAGGGTGCTGCCTCAGCCCCTACTGGTGATATTACATAATATGTTGTATGTGAACCGTTTAAAAATCTAGTGAATAATGAATTCCCAAACTCATCTGGTCCCAAGGGTTTTAGATAACGGATTCTGTGCTTGTAGAAAACCAAGAAAAGAGGAAGAAAAAATAAAACAGTTTCCAACAGCACCAGAGTTTTAGAAGTAAGCTTCAGTAAAAGATTTGTTCTACCTGCAATTGACAGTAAAATAGAATATTTCATACTTATTAACGTCCTATGCAATTTTTACAAGATAAAAATTGTGATCCACCCTTATAATTCCTCTGAACTCATTAGTTGTTCTTTTGGCTCATCCATTTTGTGATTACAGAAAGGAAATGCAGCCGGAAATTAGATAACAGCAGGTTTTGCACAGAGTAAATTCTATATAGCTTTGAAAAATGCTTTTGGCACGGTTTATTACACTAAATTCTCATTACCAGCCACACACAACTTATTACCAAGTTGATGAACAAGCTTTTCTTTCTTTGCTTAGTGATGAGTGAAAAAGATGGCAGATTACCAGATTTTCTTTTTAATGGATTTTTCCGAGCCAAAAAAATAAATAAACATGCCCTCACACCTATTTTATAACATTGTAGTAAACTGTAGTGCTATTGAGAAATGATAGCAGGTGTGAGAAATTATGTGGAGCAAATATTAGGCATTATTTGTGCATCCAGTTTGTTTTAGAGTTGATGAAGGCATCATTACCAGCTCAGGGGACCAACCAGTCATAATCTCATCTCATAGTAGTAGAAGAACCCTCAGTGAGCTTTCAAACAAGGGCAGAAATTCTTACGAGAAAGGATATATGATATTCTGGTGATTCAATGTATGCATTATTGACCTTTCATAGTGAAAATTAAATGATTCCATAACAACTTGGCATGAAAAAAAGTAATTTTCCTCTTTTGCTTTTTTGGACTTGCTCTTCTTACAGCAATAAGCATTAAGCAGTTTTTTTGTCCTTAAAATATAAAAAGGATGTTTTATTTTTATGTCTACCTTGATATATCTATTTTCCATGACATATTTTAAACCAATTTGCAAACACCAGTTTTTTAACAAAAAAAAATAGAGAAAAATAATATGTAATTGAACATGAAAGCAAATATGCATTTTATTAAAATTTTTTGGTTTTTACTTTGGAAGCCCAAAGTATTACTTTAAATACTATTCATTTTTCCTAAATTGGTCATAAACTTTAAATACTGTATTTTGCTGTGTATAATGCTCACCCACATTTTTTGGCCCAAACTTTCAGGAAAAAAAATCTTTCATTTTAATTTTTTAATTCAATTTTTTAATTTAGAAACAAAATGAATTATCATATTCCGAGGTATTATTTTGCACATGGATATTGTTATTGCTTTCTAGAGTTACACTTTTAACATGTAAGCATAAATAAAAGAATTAAAAACATTTATATAGATATGGAATTAGCACTACTCATGTATAATGCGCATCCTTGTTTTTCCCTCAGAAATTTGGTTAAAAATGTACACATTATACATGGCAAAATATGGTGATATTTTATATTAAAAATTAATTGAATATTTTGTATTCAAAAGTTAATTTTCTAATTCCTGCAGGTATTTTCTCCCTTTCAAAACAATTTTTTCTCTTACACATATACTTTAATACATGAGTTGGGGCTCCTATTTCTAGATTTGCTGCTTATCACTTTGCTTTTTATTCTTATAGAGATATGACAGAAGTGGTTCATATCAAAGATCGAAAAGAAGTCATTCATGAAATGAAATTTTCTCCAGATGGTTCTTATCTCGCAGTGGGATCTAACGATGGCCCTGTAGACATCTATGCGGTTGCCCAGAGGTATAAGAAAATTGGAGAATGCAACAAGTCCCTTAGTTTCATTACGCACATTGACTGGTCTTTGGATAGTAAATACTTGCAAACTAACGATGGCGCAGGAGAGCGACTGTTCTACAAAATGCCGTGTAAGTTGTGCAGGCATCAGGTGCTGTGAAGAGCAAAACTTTGAACCACATGAAGAATGTATGAGAATGTTGTTATGACCTCAGGGCAAGGAATGTTTTCTGAAACAAGACTCTCAAATCACAGACCCTCAAAGACGAGATTAATAAATTAGAATACATTAAAATAAAAAAATTACTCCACTATAAGAGAGACCTTGAATACAATGAAAAGACAATGCATCAACTGGGTATAAATACTTGCAGTTGTTATAATGAACAAAGGATATACACAAAGAATGCATAATGATAAGAAAAAAAATCATAGAAAAACTAAAAATATTAAAGATTTGAGGATCTCATTTTTTTAATTTACTGTGATTTCTTTAGTCTCAAATATGTGTTCTTTATAAATGGAAGCCCACATTATTTGATTATTTGCTGAAATGTACTAATTGGAATTTAAAAAAATTTTTTTTTATTTGTAACCCCTCTGCATATAACTTTTGTAAGACTTATCTAACTTATTAAACACTCATTAGTAACATTTAGTTTATGATACTAAACTGTCATAAATAAAAGATATTTCTGTATTATTATCTTTATGATTTTTTAAATGTAAGAAGAAACTTCAATATTTACCATGAATCTTGACCTCAAATAATTTTATCTTAAATTTTTTGAAATTAATTGAAAAATTAATCTTAACATAAAATAATGTATAACATATAACTTCAATTTTTTTGAATTTTTAAATCATGTTTATTCTATTACAGTTGTCTCAATTTTTCCCTTTTTAGCCCCCTCCACCCATCCCACCCCTACCGCCCGCTCCCACAGTCAATTCCCACTCTGTTGTCCATGTCCATGGGTCATACATGTTCTTTGTCTAGTCCCTTCCCCTTCTTTCCACCATTGTCCTCTTTCCCCATCCCCTCTAGTCACTTTAATCTGCTCCATGTTTCCATGCATGTAGCTTATTTTGTTCGTTACTTTATTTTGTTGAATAGAGTCCACTGATAGGTGAGATCATATGATATTTGTCTTTTACCAACTGGCTTATTTCACTTAGCTTAATATTCTTCAGTTCCATCCATGTTATCTCAAAAGGTAGGAGTTCCATCTCTCTCTCTTTCTTTCTTAAATGCTGATTGATTTATTTTTTTAAATGTCAAAGTTAATTATAAAATATTAAAAAATTTAAAACCATTATAAAGTCTCAGCAATTAAACCAACATGACACCAGCACAGAAATAATCAAGTAGATCAATGAAATATAATGAGCATTCTAGAGACAAATGTACATATCTGTCTAACATTGGAATATATGATTAAGTTGACATTTCAAGTCAATGGGAAAAATAAGACTTATTCAACAAATAAGGTGCATGGACCACTATTACTTGAAATAAAACAAATATAGAGCCTTATTTTACCCATTATACAAGAAATATTCAGGTGAGTTAAAAATCAATATGTAGAATCTAAGGAGTTTTAGGAGAAAATACAAACTAATATTTTTCTTACCCAGAAGTAAAATATTCACACCCAGAATCTATAAAGTAAAATATTGACAATATGACTATATTAAACATTTAAGGCTGTAGAGTAATATACATATAAAAAAGTTAAATGACAAGTAATAGAATAGGAAAGTATTTGCAATGCATCTGAAAAAGGGTTAATGGTTTGTCTGGGTTTTTTCAGGGAAAAAAATTCCATAAACATTTAATCAAAAAATGGATAAAGAATACCAAAAGTCACTTAAAGCTTTTTAAAAATAATAGAAATAGGCAAGAAATATACAAAAACAGGTTTAGTTTCAACAAATAATAAAGGAACAATTAAAATAACACATTGTCACAGTCAGATTAATATATGTTAAAAAATATTGGTAATATCAAGTATTTGTGACAGTGAAAGGAACTGGGTATTCATAGACTCTTTTTTCCTCATCTTCTTAAAGCAGTCCCTTTAGCATATTTTGCAATGCTGGTTTGGTGGAAGTGTATTCTTTCAGCCTTCTTTTGTCTGGGAAACTCCTTATTTCGCTTTCCATTTTAATTGAGAGCTTTACTAGGTGGAGCAGTCTTGGTTGCAGGCCTTTGCTTTTCATGACTTGGGATATCTCTCGCCATTCCCTTCTGTCTTGTAGTGTTTCTGTTGAGAAGTCAGCTGTTAGCCGTACTGGGGCTCCCTTGTATGTTACTACCTCTTTCTCCCTTGCTGCCTTTAGGATTCTCTTTTTGTCTTTGATATTTGCTATTTTACTGATGATGTATCTTGGAGTGGGCCTCATTGGGTTCCTCTTGAATGGAACCTTTTGTGCTTCCTGGACTTGTATGAATTTTTCTCTCCTCCAATTAGGGAAGTTTTCTATCATTACTTTTTCAAACAGGTTCTCTATCTCTTCCTCCTCCTCTTCTCCTTCTGGTATCCCTATTATATGGATATTATTATGTTTCAGGTTGTCCTGCATTTCCCTAAATGCCTCTTCATTCTTTTTGAGTCTTTTTTCATTTTTTTGCTCTTTCTGAGAGCTTTATTCTCCCTTGTCCTCAAACTCGCTGATTTTTTCCTCTGCTTCATCTAGCCTACTTTTGATTCCTTCTACTGTGTTCTTCAATTCAGAAATTGTCTTCATTTCCTCTTGTCTCTTATTGATAGTTTCTATGTCCTTTTTCATGGTGATATAGTTTGCAGTAAGTTTCTCATAGTTTCCCTGTAGTTTTTGGTAATTCTCTCTGAGCTCACTGAGCTCATTGAGCTTCCTTAGAACCATTGTTTGGAACTAATATCTGATAGTTTACTCACCTCTTTTTCAATGAGTTCTTTTTCTGGGGATTCCTCCTTTCCCTTCGAGTGGGGTGTATTTCTTTGTCTTCCCATTATTTTTGTGACTCTTCTTTTTTGCTTCTGCTTCTTAAATTTACCTGTCTTGATTTCCTGATATCGTGGTATGAACTTCTATGGTAGGAGACTGCTGTTTTTACTTTCTGGATCTGCCTTCGATGATGTCAGATGTCGTCCCTGTCTGACCTTAGGCAGTCTGTTCGAGACTTCCAAGAATCTACTGTTTGTAGCTGTCTCCTTCAGCTGTTAATCTAGTCACTCTGCGCTCAGCAGGCTGCCTTAGACAGCTCAGGGCAGGGTCGAGTCCCTCCTGGGGGTGGGGTTATTGGGTCCTCTCATGCTGCTGCCCTATGGGGGAGGAGTCAGCACTGGGATCCCGTAGGCTACTCTCTCCGTTCTCTCCCCAAAGCCTCCAACTCCAGCTCTCCTCAAGTGTCTCCAGACCTCTCTTTGCCCCCTTTAGCCAGGGATCTACTTGCTGTGGCTTCCACTCTACACTCAGCAGGCAGCTTAGACAGCACCGGAAGGGGTGGAATCCTGCCTGGGGCGGAGCTGTTGGGTCCACTGATGCTGCTGCCACTCAGGGGGAGCGGTCTCTGCCTGAACAAGATGGCTGCTGCTGCATGGGGGATGAGTCAGCACCAAGATCCTGCCAGCTACTCTCTCTGTTCTCTCCCCAAAGCCTCCTTCCCCAGTCTCTCCTCAGGTGTCTCTAGCACACTCTGCCACTGCCTTTGCCAGAACCCAGGGTAAGTGGCTACAAATAAAAATGTATGCCTTGGCCCTTTAAATGGTTCTTGCATCTCCAGCTGCCTGTCTCTGGCAGAGAGCACCCCTGCTGCTTCTTGCAGCTGGCTGTTTTCTGTGTACTTTTTCGACTCTGGTGCTGGAGGCTGGAGATCCCTGCTTATGGTTTAGACCCCGGTCTTCTCAGGGGGATCCAACTGACTCTTTCAATATCCTGCTGGTGCTGCCACCCGTGGGTGCCCCGCCCACCTTCTCGAGTCTCTACCACACTCCTTACCAGTTAGATTGTGCTAAAGCCGATTCTTCTGTCTCTGAGGTTACAAGACTCCTCTCTCACTATTGTTCAGTTGTTTGTTCTGGGTGATTTCTACCCAGTTTAGCTGTAATTCCAGGTTGGTCCTGGGAGGAGATCAGTGTGACTTCTACTCACTCCTCTGCCATCTTGATTCTCTGAATCTATAACTTCAATTTTTTAAAGTCTCTGCCCTATTAGATTTGTTAATGCACTATTACTAGGTACATATTTCTTCGTGTCTACTTTTTTTGCTCAATATTATTTAATATATATTTCCCATATGTAAAAAATATGGAATACATGTTTGCCATTTACAATAACAAAATAATATCCTACCTAGTAATCATATTAACATTTGCTTTCTCATTCTCCTGTTATTAAACATTTGGGCTTATTTCTACTTTGTTTGCTGCTCCAAAAATCTTTGTACATATCAGATTTGTTGTTCTAAATTCCTTGCACTGTGTTCTCCAAAGCAGGAACATTGGATCAAAGACTATGATCCAACTATAAACCCTCTGATTCTATGTTCTTATTTATAATGAGTTTTATGTAACACTGGTAGAGTTCAGGACACCTAGGTACCAATTTGATAATGCACCAGTAATATACAAGGGCACCACTCTTACGGATTCTTTATTTGAAAATAATTTGTTTATTTTGAGGGGGAAAGTATGAGGTATTACACTTGTCTTAAAATTGTGTGGCTAAACATTTCCCCAAGCATCCCTTTTTCTGTATGATTCCTCCCTTGTATGTTCCTGGAGGCACCCGTCACCAGCTGCTGGTGAAGACTGGGTGTCCTGGGTGTTAAAGAGGATCCCTAACATAGGTGTCAGTGCTATTTTCCCCAATGAATTACATTTTTTAAATCAAAATTTGGTGAATTTGCATCGGCTAGTACTGTTAAATAATGAAATATATTCATTTTTTTCACCAATTTATTAAGCCTGAATTTTTTTTAAAAAAAATCACTTCTGCAGTTCCTTGAATTATGAAAAGTATAAATTAAAAGTAAATTTTCAAAAATCTGGCAAAATGATGGTGACTAAATAGGATAAAAGTCATTTTATCAATAATATGAAGCATAATATCATATGTATTTAATTAATTAAGCTCAAGTGAATATTCGTAGCTTGAATTATTCCATTTAGTACAATGAAGACTTTTCTTTTTCTCCTCATGTGCAAGATTTGAGCATGTACTTCCCTTAAACCCTGCTGTTTAAAAAAAAAAAAATCAGGTAAAGATGTGAGAATCTCTATTTTCCTTGTTTTACAGAGTTTTTAAAAAACAAAGAGGTTTTAGACCTTTAAAGCAAAAGAAAAACAGAGCAAATTAGAATATACTTTTTATTTAAATGTAACATTATATTACTGCTTATTTATTATTTGCAGCTGGGAAACCTTTAACAAGTAAAGAAGAAATCAAAGGGATCCCCTGGGCCTCCTGGACATGTGTGAAAGGCCCGGAAGTGAGTGGAATTTGGCCAAAATACACTGATATCAATGACATCAACTCAGTGGATGCGAATTACAACAGCTCAGTGCTGGTGTCTGGAGATGATTTTGGACTGGTTAAATTGTTTAAATTTCCTTGTCTCAAAAAAGGTAAGACTCCAAAGAAATGTTTCATTTAGGCTTATCCCAGCATGCATATGCAGTAAAACTAAGGCTTATTTTCTTGGTGTCTATTCCTGCAGGCTATTAATTTTATCTTTGTATTCAATACTCTTAAACAATTTTAAATAGAATGTGATGTTGATGTATACTTCTGACATTCTAAAATACAGGCTTTTGCAAATTTAAGTCAGAATTTGTTAACAGAATTTTTACTCACCATTTTGTGATTCATAAACCTCATGTTTCACATTTTAAACAAATCCTATTTTATTTACATTGATGTAAATACTCACAATTTATATATTACATCAAAATATTGTAATTAAAGTTTTTATGCTTCCTAGCTAATTGTGATTCTACTTGGAAAAGCAAAGCCAGTCGTCTTTAGCCATATTTAAAATAAAATCGGAAAGAGGTTGCTCCTTCAGATAATACAGGTGATGGGCCCCTCGTCATAGCACTGATTTTGCAAACCAGATTTACATAAGGGGTGACATTTTTGAGATAGAAGTTTGATTCAAAACAACTACCTCTGCCTTCACATTTTGTTGTTTTGTTTCTTTTATTGTTTCATTTTGTTACATCAATTTTTGTGGCACTTTCAGGCTTTGCAAAATGTGACTGAATTAACCATGTACGACCTCATCTTCTTCCTTTGCAAGTTCGGGCAAAGCCCATAGGCTTTTCAAAGACTCCCTGACTTCGCCTTAATCTTTGGAAAGTAATCAGTAGGGATGTGCTGCTGCCTGGAAACTCTTTCACTTGAGTGATTTTTAGATTAAGCAAGGAAAAAGGGATTGAAAATGTAATCAGAAAGTCATTTTGAGCTAACCGACAGTTTTGAAGCAATGACAATTACAGTACAAAATTGAACAAAAAATAGAGAGCAAAACCACCATCACTTACACCTGACAAAATGGCCATTAGTTTTAAAATACTTGCACAAAATTATCTCACCATGCCGAATTCAAACACTCTGCCTAATGGGTTTTTTGAGTACTAGGGCATATCTCGTTTGATTGAGTAATGTACTTAGGAAGGTAAGTTAGGTAACCAGAAGGTATCTGGGGATTCAGAAGAAACATCAGTGGGGTCATAAGCAATACTATTGGTCACAACTATCATGAGTTGGGAATAAAGTTAACTTAATGAGAGTTGGTATCTCCTTTGTATCACAAAACCTTGTGGGTGAACTTGGGTCTGGAAAATAGCAATAAAAAGGTAGTTTATTAGTATGGGAGGGTCGAGGGAGGTGGAAGCAGGTTGTGAGTAACGCTTTGATTGTCTGTCAAAATGAGCCACTTTATAAGTAGAACAGCCCTGAGGATGACGGCACACAGGGATGTCTGAGCGAATGAGGAGAGGTGGACAGCCAGTGACAACAGTGGAGAGAGTAATAAAATCCCCCTCGGTGATCTGCAGAAGTTTCCACATCCTCATAGCAGATTGACTTGTTCTACTTTTCATGCCTCATGGTTTATAAATCTTGCAATTTGCCTCAGGGGCATTCAGGCTTTTGTGGCCTTTTTATGCCAAAACTATTGGCAGGCAAGTTCATATAAGACTTGTTGATGGAAATAATAAGCTGATGGAGCCTGTCTGCCTATCACCCAGAGCACCAGTGACAACGTTCATTTTTGAACCTGTGAACAGCCAGATGGGAGCAGAGCCTGGTGACTATGAGAAAGGGCGCAGATGGCGCAGACAGGACCGTGTTCTGCCATGCAGTGTGGTCACAGGCAGGCCAGCGTGGCGAGGGCATGATGAAGGCAGGGAGAGCTGTGTTCTGGGAGGCTGGAGAGGGCGGTGGGGACCAGGCTGTGAAGGGCCTTGTCGCCCCTGTTTGAAATTTGGGTCTTAGTGGAAGAGCGATGGAAAACTATTGAGTGTTTAAAATGGAGGCGTAATGTGACCAATTTAAGTTTTTAAAAGGCAATTTTGATATTGTGTGGGATAGATTAGGGTAGAGGAGGCTTTGAGTGGGAAGATTGTGGCAGGAGCCCAGGTGAGAGATGTGGTAGCTTGGACAAAGGTGTTATGAACAGATGCAAAGAGAGGTGGTTGAGATTAGGAAACAGTTTCAAGGTAGAGCTGAAGGTCTTGCTGATGGATTGGATGTGGGGAGAGAAGGAAAGCGGGGAATCGAACATGACTCCTAAGTTTTGGGCTGGAGCAATGGTGTGGATGGCGGCACCATTTATAGAGGTGAGAGAATGAGAAAGGGAGAGATTTTGTCTCTGTGCATGTCTTATGGGGGACGGGGAATTCATCTTTCTGTTTTGTTCATGATAAGTTTGAAGCAGGTATTGGACACCCAAGTAGATATGGTCCATAGGCTGTCAGCACTCCAGGGGAGTCCAAGGCTGGAGACCAACATTTGACAGTTGTGAGCATATTGACATTATTTAAAACCATAGGAGAAAGGTCAGTAGAGTGGAGTTGAGCATTCCTGGTGGTTTAGAGGAAAAAGAGAGGCCTTAGAAAGTCACTCAGTATTCCAAGAAAAGCCTTGAAACTGTGGACGTGGCCTTCCTTTGTTCACTATGTATTTGTTAAATGCCATTTTAGAGGCTGGAAATGCATCAGTGAATAAAATCAGCACAAATCTATGTCCTCGTAGAGCTTTTGTTCTTCTGAGGGGACAGTTAATAAATAAAATATGAACATGTCTGATGGTGAGGTGCTATGAAGGAAAAATAAAGCAAGCAACGGGAGTGGAACACTCAAGTGGGGCTGTATAGTGTTGCTACTTTAAATATTTTTTAAATTTTTATGTACTGATTTGAGAGCGTGAGGGAGGGAGAGACATCGATTTGTTGTTCTGCTTATTTATGCATTCATTGGTTGTTTCTTGTATGTGTCCTGACTGGGGATCAAACCTACAATCTTGGCATAGCAGGACAACACTCTGATCAACTGAGCTACCCAGTCAGACTTTAGTGTTGCTATTTTAAATAGGGTAGTTAGGCAAGGGTCACTGATATGGGTTCATCTGACTAGAAACCTGAAGGAAGGCGAGGAAACCAGCCATTCAAGTATTCAGGGAAAGAACATCCTATACAGGGAACAGCAAAAGCAAAGGCTTAAAGGCAGAAGAGTGCCTGGCATGCCTAAGAAATGGCAAAGGGGCCAGTGTGCCTGGAGATGGGAAAGAGAGAAAGCGAAAAAGAAGAAAGAGGAAGAGAAAGAACAGGAAAAAAGATCAGAGAGTGAGACCTAAATAGTAATGACACCAGTGACTTTGCAGGTTTTGGCTCCAGCCTGCCAAGTGTATGATAGTTATCTGTTGCTGCATAACAAATTCCTCTCCCCACCAAATTCAGCAGCTGAAATCAACCAACATTTATTAGCTCACAGTTTCTGGGGGTCAGGGTTTCAGGAGCAGCTTAGCTGGATGACTCTATCTCAAGGCTTCTCATGAGGCTGCAAGTCATCCAAAGGCTAGACTGAGGCTGGGGGTCCATTTCCAAGACAGCTCAGTCACATGGCTCTTGGCTGGAGGCCTCGGTTCCTTGCCACATGAGCCTCTCGTTGGGGTGCTTGAATGTCCTTCACACAAGGTATCTAGAGATGCAAGAAAGAGAGCAAGAAGGGATCTGCAGTGCTTTTTATTGTATAACCTCCATTGTATAACCTCCTCTTGGTTGTCATACATCTTTACTTTTGCCATAGTCTATTCATTTTGATCTGTATTAAAGAATTTGTGGGCATATTTATTCTTCTAGATTCTTTAAAATATAACTAACAAATAACATTGTGTAAGTTTAAGGTGTACAATGATTTTCTACATGAATATATTGTGACTTGGTTACTGCTTTAAGGTTAGTTAACCAATCACCTTACTTAGTTACCTTGTATGTATGGCAAGAACACTTAAGATCTACTTTCTCAGCAACTTTCAAGTATACAATACAGTATTATTAACTATAGTCCCAGTGCATTAGGTTCCCAAAATTTATTCATTTTATAACTAAAAGTGTACACTTTGACCAATTTCTCCCACTTCCCAGGCCCTAGTGACCACACATCTACTGTTTCTATGAGTTTGGCTTTTTAAAAAAAAAATTGTGGGCATATTTGTGAGCCAGTGCAGAGATAGGTTAAATGATCTCTGAGGAGGGCGTAAAGGTCAGGGCAGCATAGCCCAACAAGACCTATAGAGATAAGGAAAGAATAGACTTTGCTTCCCAATTATTGAATTATCATCAGGCAGCATTTCCCACTGAACTTAGCTGGAATCTGTTTGATGTTATTAAATTACCAAAGCTGGCTTAGGCAACTCTTTGAAATAGGCAGGGTTGCTTTTGAGCCCCGAGGCCTTCCCCTCTCTCTATGGCAGCATCCCCGTAGACTTTTCTTGGAGGCTCTAATATAATAGGCCCACACCTGGTTAGGATCTGCTCTCAGGAAAGGGACACACAGCTGTCATTTTTACCTTCATTTAAATCCAAATCATTACCTCTCTAGTGGGCGTTTAATATTTAAACGAGATACTTGGAACAGGTGGCCTTTTTCCCCCAAACAGATTTCATTTAGAGGGACTGTAAAAGGTAGAAGTATTTCTGAGGGAGAGATGGGGTGCTTGTTGGCCCCCTGAAACCTCCCATAATCTTTGGAGTATGAGCTCTCCACTGGACAAGGTGGACCCTGCCTGTTTCCTTGAGTGCCTTTAGGCTGTTGGGTACCGACAGTGCCCTGGAGACTTTACTGCAGTACTTCAACCATATGTATAAGTTCAAATAGTTTTTCTATTGAATTCACTACCTGGGGATGATGTTTACTGAGTTAAACAATCAGCTTAAGAGAAAAAAATTTCATTCTCTCAAATGTACATTTACATGACCCCAAACAGTAATTTTACTTTTTCCAACAGAATTATTTTGTTTCCCAATTGTAGGGATTGCCCATTTTATCCAGTATTTAAATAAGAACGTATTACATACTCATTCTTTAGCATGTATTTTCAGAATCAGTGAAGCAGTAGGCATTATTTGGAACAGGTTTGGATGTGTCTCTAGCCACAGGGCCTAAGACCCATTTTTAAAGATTTTATTTATTTATTTGTTTAGTTAGTTAGTCATTTTGAAAGAGGGGAAGGAAGGGAGAAAGAGTGGGAGGAAAACGTCATTTGGTTGCCTGTCGTATGCAACCTGGCTGGGACCTGGCCCACAACCCAGGCATATGCCCTGACTGGGAATCAAACCAGCCTCCTTCCGCTTTGCAGTACGGTGCCCAAGCAGTTGAGCCACGTAGGTCAGGACTTAATCCATATTGGGATAATTGAGATTTTTTTTTTTGGAGCATTTGCTTACTTATTATGATATGTAATACTGAAGACAATTCTGTAATATATTTAAATACTGAAGATTATTTTGTAGTATATTTAAAGATTTCACTCTTCAACATGCATAGGAGTTTAATTTTCTAACCAATAAATTTTATTTTTTGTATAACTAATCTTCTCAAAAATATCTTCAGGAGCCAAGTTTAGAAAGTATGTGGGCCACTCTGCACATGTCACAAACGTCCGCTGGTCTCATGACTTTCAGTGGGTGGTAAGCACCGGAGGGGCCGACCACTCGGTTTTCCAGTGGAGATTTATTCCAGAAGGTGTCAGCAACGGCCTGCTGGAAACTGCACCCCAGGGTAAAGCCGGTAATGATTTCTTCAACATCTGTTTATTTTTCAATGAAAGTTTCAAAGAATGTTCTAACATCTCTTCTGGAGGTAAAGAGTTAAAGCAATTTTGAAAAAGCCATTCCTATAATAAATTTTAAAGTTAAGAAGAAGAATAGAAAAACTTTGAAGATGAATATGGGTCCTTTGGTTAACCTCCTTCAAAGGATTTTGTTTAACCAAATGCAAGTTGCAAGTCTAAAGTTTACATGAATTAACCTCTGAAGAAAACACGAATGCATACATTTCAGCCTCCTCAGGGTGACTAACGGGCGGTGGGTCTGCTCGGTCAGGCTGGGGGGTGACAGGGTTACCTTTGGCTAGAAGCTGCCTCCAGAATGGGTTTCAAAGAATGGTCCACCATCTGGGCCAGTATGTTCCGGTTCAATGGGTAGGGTTAGAATAAATAGACCTCACATTTATTTATTGTGATGTCAGCACAAATGATCAGGTAATAAAATGAAAAGCTATATGAGGAAAGGTTTTACCAGGAGGGGTTCTGCTGTGACCTTGGCAGTTACCAACACGCGACACTCAGTGGGCATGTTAACAGGATAAAGAGGATCTTCATTGAAATAAATGGTTGAATTTCCCTTTGTACCAGCCCTTTCCTTGGTAAAACTTGCCCTTTTCCCCCCTTTCCAAGCCAAGGTTTAAAACTTAAAGATCTATTATGTAATAGAAGTGTGGAAGAGGTGAAGGGATGATGTTGTTCTAGTCCATCAGTGCTCGCGGAAGGGGCGAGGAGTGTGCTGAACTTAACCAAAAGATAAAAGAAAAAAAGATGTTTTAAGGATTTACCTTGAATTAAAACTGGTGTAGTTATTTTCACATACTTTGATAGGATAGAAAAAAGAAAATATTTTAAATAAAATGTTTAGCTCTTTAGAGTCTCAGAATTTTTGCTCAATTCTCACGGGTTATGTTTCTACAGAAGGTGGCACTGATTCCTACAGTGAAGAATCTGATTCAGATTTATCTGACGTGCCGGAGCTGGACTCTGATATTGAGCAAGAAACCCAAATCAATTATGATCGCCAGGTCAGTAAGCAGACAGCTTCATAACAAAGGTCTTTTAACCCAGAATCACCTTGGATTTGGACATTGATTAAAAATGGCTGGTACTTAAGCAGAAAAGAATCAGTACAGGAATAAGGGCAAGTATGTGCTTCTTGTCTTTAAATACAGGATAAAAATAAGGCATTTACCTAATCATATTCCTTAAAATATTTTTAAGTGGAAAGGAGTAGCAAAGTTTCAAAAAACGAATGACATTTGTGGTTTTCTGCCTCCCTAGCACGTAAAACTTTGAAATATTTTTTTGATAAAAAGATATGCATGTAAGCTATTAGATTTTTTATTCTTAGTCGATAATTAAAGCATGTGTTTTCTTTACAGAGTAGGTCATCTTGGAGCCATGGTAGTTTCTTAATTTATGGAGCCCATTATCCATATAATTAAAGTAAAAGCCCAAATATAATGCGCATTCTCTCTCCAGTCAGAAATTATTTCTAGTATAAAAGTTGGGCAATTACATCCAAATCGAGTCCTAATTTTTTGAAAGTAGACATTTTAGTTTAGCATTAAACGGTGAGTATTAAACAGAGCAATCCTTCAAGGGAATCTGGACACACATCACCTTGTTAGGCAGTAGCTATAGGGGTTCTGTTTTCTCCCTTGTCATTTAAGAAGGGTATGAGAAGCAGATTCTCTATGTGAACACTAAATGAGTAAGATTTCAGGTTTCCGATAGAGCAGCTGTCAGTAGTGCCCGTGGAGACCTACCATATAGGCCTGTGACAGCTGCCACGTATTGAGTGTCTCCACAGGGCCAGATCCTATGATTTACATACACCAAATTCAACCCCACAATAACCTGGGGAGGTTAAGTAATTTGCCCCCATCCACATCACCTATATTATCAGGATAACAGTGCAGATCTGGGCTTCTCTCCAAAGCACACATTCTGTGTACTACTGGGCTTTGCCTCTGTACAAACACTGAATTTACTGATTTTCAGATGACATTGTTTTCAGCCCATAAGTATCACCCATTGATTCAGTGTTTGAAAAATTTTATCAGTAAAAATGCCATTTAACTGATGGCTTGGTTCAACTTCAGGACTAAATCAATTTGACTATGAATTGGTACAATGTTACACAGTGAAACTACTAAAGATAAAGCTTTGAAAGGATATTATTAATGTGGAAATACCACACAAGCACTAAATGAGATTATACCCTGATATAAAGGGGAAATGGAATTCAACCAAAATCAACATAAGATATGGGAGGAAAAAACCTTTTTTCTTAGTTGGGAAGTTTGTATTTCAGAAAATGATGCTAGTAAAAGAATGAAAAGTCATAATTGTATTGAAAGCTGTGCCTAGGATTTATATATTCTCCCTGACATCTTATTTTCCAAAGCTTTCACCTATATTATTTGATTTACATTCACAAGTTTCCTGAGTTATTCCTCAGCAGGGATTTTTATTCTCTTCAACAGGTGGGGATTTGAAGCCCACAGAGGTTGTAAGACTGTTCAAATAAGCAGTAGGAATTCCAAGACTAGAATTCAGTGCTCTAAAGCAGTTGGTGGGCTGATGAATGCATCATGAATTCAGATGAATAGTTATCTTTAGATTTTAAAAGCTTAGTTCATTGCACCTATAATTGAACAGTAATGAGATATCTTTTGACTTTCTTTCTTAAAAAAGATTTTTGTCAAATCCTAAACAGGAACTTTATTAGAATATTTCATATATTTTTAGTAATGTGGTTTCATCAAATGAAAACGTTCCTTTTATGAAAATGAGAAACTATTAATAGATTGTATCTACTTTTCAATGTCTTAAATTAATACCACTTAGTAATAGAGCTTAAATACACAGTGGACAAAAGATTGGTTTTGTACCTTTAAATTAAATTGTAGGACATGTTCTCTCAGTCAGCAACATATTTTAGGTCCTAGGTTAGACCAGGATCTTTGCTCTATAGCTCAGAGTCTGGTCTGTCAAGATGCATGAGGCCATGAAGAGAAAATAATTCCAAATGTGGACCCCTGAGGTGCAAATGTCAGAATCATCAAGAGATTATTTTTGCTTTAAAAGAAAACTAATTTTATTTATATTTCATTGATACCTTTAATAGTTTATTATTTATTAGAAAATTAATGCCTATTTTCTGGATATAAATTACTTAAGAAACATAATAGCAAATTAAGAAAAAATTATTTTAAACCCCAGTAATTTAAACAATATATTTTGTTAGTTTTGTTCATTAGAAGACAGTAAAATCTGACCTCAGGTCTTATGTTCTCAATTTTGTTTATCTTTTCAAAGTACCAGCTTTTAGTTTTATTCATCTTTACTGTTGTTTTCCTAGACTCTTCCATTTATTTCTGCTCTAATCTTTGTTATTTCCCTCCCTCTAGTAACTTTGGACTTAGTTTATTCTTTTTTTTCTAGTTCCTTGAGGTATAATGTTAGGTTGTTTGAGATCTTTTCCTTATTTAAATGTATGCATTTATATCCACAAACTTTCTTTCCTTTTAAGACTGATTTTGCAATATCTCATAAATTTTGGAGTGTTTCATTTTTGTCTCAAGATATTTTTTTGATTTCCCTTTTGATTTCTTCTTTTATCCATTGTATTTTCAAATGTGTTGTTTAATTTTCACATATTTGTGATTTTCCAGCTTTCCACCTGTTATTGATTAATAGTTTCATATCATAGGGGTTGGAAAAGATACTTGATATAATTTCTACCTGAATTTGTTGATACTGGTTTTGTTCCCTGACATACGAACTATCTTGGAAAATGTTTCATGTACACTTGAGAAGAAATGTAGATTCTAATCCTGTTATATGGAATGTTTTATATAAGAAGGGACCAAAATTTATTCATAAAAATTGTGTATTTATTCTTACATGTTTAAACTTCAGTCACCTTCAAAGTACCCTCAATTTGATACAGTACGCCTATTGAGATGTTTTTCCCACTGCTCAAACAGTTTTTGAACTTGTTGATTCTGAGGCCTTTTAGTGCTTCTGCCATTTTTTGTTTCATCTCTTCAACATGGGCAAGGCCTTTCCCTTTGAGGACTTTTTTCATCTGGGGAAACAAAAGTTGCTCGGGGCAAGATTGGGTTAGCAGTGGGGATGGAGCACAGGGGTCATGTCATCTTTGGTCAAAAACTGCTGAACACTCAGCATGGTGTGGGCAGGTGTGCTTGTAAATCACCCATCAAGAAATGGGCAAATGCGTTGAAAATCTTCAAAAAAAATTCACTGAGGCCAAACACAGCCTCTCACAACACCACCAGCTAGTACACTGATACAGGTGGGTTCTCAGAACACTCACCTAATGCGGGAAGCCTGTACTACAAGGGACCCCCCTCCAGAAGATGACTCCAGTGTTTTTGTTTCCCTCCCTTGTATAGGTCTGTTAGATTATTTGATTTCTGGTGTTCAAATCTTGTTTCATTATTGATCCTCTGTATGGCTGTTGAGAGTGGGGTATTACATCCCCAACTATCATTGTATTGATGTTTATTTCTTCTTTTAGTTCTCTTAGTATGTGCTTTATGTATTTAGACACTCTGATGTTGGGGGCATAAATATTTACAGTTGTTATATCTTGTAGAATTGACCCCTTTATCATTACATAACAACCTTCTTTGTCTCTTGTGACCATTTTTTAGTCTCATTTCTCAAAAATAAGATTTATTACAATTAAAGACTTCCTGAAAATGTCAAGACACTGTTTTTAAAACCTGAAGAAGAGAGTCTTAATTAAATGTATTTGCTATGCTTTCAGGTTTACAAAGAAGATCTACCTCAGCTAAAGCAACAAAGTAAAGAGAAAAACCATGCAGTGCCCTTCCTCAAACGAGAAAAGGCTCCTGACGACAGCTTGAAACTCCAGTTCATACATGGGTGAGCAGCCTGTCCCCAGCCTTATCGCGGGGCTGAGGATGTCCCCGTCCCTGTGCTTTCCCATTTTCAGCTGGCTCCTCTGTCCTGCGTGCACTTACCTGTGATTAGTACCTTAGCCATTGTTCTGTGTGCAGGTTTCTCAGGCAGTGTTCTGTGGCCATCACAGCGTGTGCAGTGATTGAAACTAGATTGGTTCATACTTTATGTGCTTCCATGGTGTGTATGTTGCTGCAGCCCATTGTTATTTCACTTTATTCTCTCCACCACCTCTGTTTCCTTTATCCCCATAACTCCTGCTCTGTTTTGCTTGGTTCCAACAAGGACAATGTTTTCTTTAAAAAACATATGCATCAAATCATTTCGCATTTTGAGAATTACATACAACCTTCCAAACATTAAGTTGAAACCTAAAAGTATTCAGCAAAACTGTAAATGGTTGTGAATATAATATCTACTGTTTTATAAATACATCACTCATATAAAGGGAACCAGTGAAACCTAAATGCCATAGACATTTGATTCCCACCGTCATCGATTTAAGAAATATGTGAACAAGTGCTTCTGTAAAAGTAGAAAATTTTACATCACTCATATTCTTGAGCTCATTTTTATTTTACTTCTCCCACAGAATTTTACCCTAGTGTAATATTTTTTTATGGTTGAAAGTCTTTTATTGATTACCCTATCATACCTTCTGTTATAGGTTCAAAAATGTCCACAGGTTCAATTTAAATTGAGTTCCAGTAACCATAGGATTCTCTGTGCTGTCCGGCATGGTATCTATCCACTGCCCTCTTGAAATGTGGCAGATTTGAATTGAGATGTCTGTGTGTAAAATGTACACCAGGTTTCAAAGATTTAGCATGAAAAATGTACTATATTTCATTAAAATGTTTTATATGATTACATGTAGACATGATAATATTTTAGAAACATTAGATTGAATGTTCTCAAAAATAAATTTCATCTACTTTTACCTTTTTACCATGACCATTAAAGAATTTTAAATTACCTGTGTGACTCACATAACATTTCTATTGCACAGTGCTGCTCTAAAAGTTAACAATTTTTTTCTAGATTGAATATTGTAACAACTACTAGTAGTACACAGCTGACCAAATCAATCTAAATACAAATATAAATCTAAATAAGTATTCTGATAAACAGTTATTAAACAAAAAATTTTATTGAAAAAAATATTTTGATGAGATGAAATTTTTCAATGACTTTGAATATATAGTCAAATATATGCATACTTAGTGGTAGTGGATGACAGAGTTTAACATTAAGTCTATTCTCATTTTTTATTTTTTAAGATATGTAAGCATTGAGAAAGCTTGTTCACATAAATAAGTCATTGAGAATGGAAACAGTTTTATCATAGCTATATTACTCAATATTTTATATTCCTCTTGAGTTACAGGCCAAAAATATATATTGTGGTTTTGATATATCACACAAAGTGTAGTCTAGTGATCTGATTACATCTCTCTCAATTTTGTTAAAAGCCAAAAATTGGAAATCAGTTGACTTGCTAAAGGACTTCTTACCCAGTCATTGGCGTTGTTCACTTTCAGCATCCACTCTTGTACTGTGAGTTGTCCCTTTGTTGTGATGTCAAACATCCCAGGGTAATACACCACAGTAAGAGTCCAGACAGACGAGAGGAATGACTTCCTAAAGCGGGAGGAAAGCAACTGTGACAGGGGAGATGGTAGAGGAGAACCTGTACCTTGCCGCAGGTGTGTTCCCAGACTGGCCACTTTTAAAAAAGAGCTCACACAGCAGCTGAGAATCTGGAAACAGATTCTGTTATAATCATCAGTGCTCAAAAATTGTCACATTCCCTCAGAAGCCCTCCCTCCCTCATTGGAGTTAAGCAGCTATGACAATACTGGGGTTTCTGCTTGCACATGTCCATATGCTGGCATTACCTTCTGACAACTGCTCTGTTCATTCACTGTGGATTCAAATGCTGCCCATTTCTTGGATCTGTGCTTCAGGTACAGAGGCTACGACTGTAGGAACAATCTGTTCTACACGCAAGCTGGGGAAGTGGTCTACCACATCGCTGCAGTTGCTGTCGTGTACAACAGGCAGCAGCACTCCCAGAGGCTGTACCTGGGCCATGATGATGACATCCTCAGCCTGACCATCCATCCAGTGAAGGACTACGTGGCCACTGGGCAGGTGTGCGCCTCTCCTGCCTCTCCTGTCGGACAGGGGCCTGGCCAAAGAGAGGGACGGTTTAATTTTGAATGCACTTTACTTAAGTAACTGATAGGGGTCAAAGAACTCTGATGACAGTGCATGGCAACATACACTGACCTTCCTGACCAAGAAATGGGATTTTACCTGGAGTTCAGAAAAGGTAGAACTGACAAAAACAAATGAGAGTGGGCATTGGAAATAGAGTTTGAAAAGTCCCTTAATAGAGCCATGCACCCAACTTGATGCTGTAACAATCTTCTTAGACTCTTCATGCCTCAGATTCCTCATGTGGAAAATAACGGAGTTGGACCAGATGATTTCTGGGGGTCTTCCTGCTCTCGAAATGTGTGGTTTTTTTATTTTTGAGCAGCATTTGACTCTAAAGAACAAAATTATTATAATTTATAAGTAATTAATACCTTCATCCTGTTATTTAAGGTTGGAAGAGATGCTGCCATTCATGTGTGGGACACGCAGACTCTGAAATGTTTGTCCCTATTGAAAGGGCAGCATCAGAGGGGAGTGTGCGCACTCGATTTTTCAGGTAAGCCCATTCCCCACTAGCCATTGACGAACAGTTCTGCATTTACTTGAGGGTTTTTATTTTTTTTCTTTTTCTGACATCGTCCTGTTTACTTGCGTTCCGTTTGTATGTCACCTCCCCAGTTTTAGACTGGAAATCAGATATGTTAATACCTCCCAAAGAAACATGGACTTTAGATTGTATGTCCTCTCCTTGTCTGCTTCATTTCCTCTCTCCCAAGTCATTACCCTGAGTTCGCACTGTGTTCTGCATTTGCTTGAGCGATTTGAAATCCAGAGCAGCTGTTGCTGTTGAAAGACTTAGTTGCGAATGTCTGGCAGTGACTCACACCATCAATTTTAACTCTCCAAGTAAGTGGGAGCCCAGCACTTGTGGTTTAAATTGTAAAGAGCTAGAGTGAGGGCTGCAAGTTCTCCGCAAAGGACCACTTTACAAGACTGAGGTTTTGGATGTGTTTCATATTGAAAAGCAGAACTGGAGGCTCCACTTTTTTTAATTTAAAATTTGAACACAGTACTATAAAAATACTGACTGATGGATATAATTTTCTTTAGAGTGAGGCCATTTTCTTCAGCTAGAATTAGAGATTGAGGACCTATCACAAAAGTTGTTTCTACCTAGAAATGTTTAATAATCCCAATAGTAGAAACTAGATCAGTAGAAAAAAATTCTTAACGTTTCTACAGAAAACTGATTCGATAATTTCCTTCTGCTAAGTACCATTAAATGTTCACTCTGTACAATATCAATAATATTGGTCATTAAGTTCCATGACTGCACAGCCTGGTCTCCCTCATGTGTCCCTCCTCTCTACTCTCCTTGTTCAAACCCTCACTCTTTCTCCTCTGTGTCCTGGTAGTACTGCTGGTTTCTGATTCCATGTACACTTCCTTCAGTCCATCCTACCCACTTCTGGGGTCTTCTGGAAGCACAGGTACCTCCTACCGCATGGACTCCCGTTGGTTGTCTGAGTCAGGCCTGGTCACTTAGCTGGACATTCATGGCCTTCCATGACCCAGTCAACCTTCCTTTGCAGTGTTTCTACCCATTGACCCATTATTGCCCCACTACAGGCGCCTAACTGGAACTCTGTGTGCTCTTATCCTTTTTGCCTGTGTTTCTTTGCTCATGCTGTTGCCATGTGTCTTTTCAAGTCCTTTCACCCTTTAAGACCCAGCTGAAAGTGTTCTCCATTCTTCCAGGGAGAAATGATTTGACCCTTCCTCTGCTTCCTTTTACCCGTTGTTGCCCTGCAGCGCCCCTTAGCGCCCACAAGGTGCAGTAGGTATCTGTATCAATGTCTCCCACACCCTTCGCAGATAGCGAGCTACTTGGGCAACAGAACTCATCTCTGTTTGCCACTGCACATGTGGTGTTATGGATACAAAAGCTACTCAGAAAACGTTGTGAATGAACAAACGAGGTTTTGCTTAATGAACTTTTTCTTGACAATCACTATTACTATTAGAACTTTACATTTTCATCATGTTCAGGTGACAGTTATCTTTATTCTCTAACCAATGACATGGTGTAGTGTTGTTTTTTTTATGGCACACACATTCTCACATACTGTAAACTACTGTACAAATCTGAGATGTCCAATCATTATTGCAGCTATACTTTCTGTGGTTATTGGATTAGTAATAATCAAAGCTAAGCAGTGTACACGCCACACCGGTGGGCATGTGAGGGAGAGAAGGCGTGAGTGTCAGGGAAAGGGGACTACTCAGCACGCCACTTGCCGGTTGAAAGTTCAGATAACACACCCAACAAGCAGTGGATACAAAGTCCTAAACTTCCACAGTCTTGATAGACATGCAGTTTTATAGCAGGTGCCATGTGTCCTTGATAAAGCAGAAAATCTAAACAGAGGCCTTAATTTGAGTTCAGTTATGGTTCTGTTCCATATGTGGGGATGAATTTCCTCTGCATTTTTTTCATAGTTCCACTCCTCAATAGCCAAACTGCCATTTTCCTAAAATTAAGTTTGCTAGCAAATAACTATGTGTATACTTAATATAAAAATAATATTAATAAGTATGCTCCAGAAGAGTGGAAAGACACCCATTAAAATAGCAAAAATAAAAATAATAAAACCTAAATGCGTACTAGATTATAAAGAACCTAATATATTCACATTTTTGACAACATTGAAAATTGACTCAATAATTCTAGCAAAGAATTTGGCACTGTATAATAAAAGCTGTAATTCAAAGTAGCAAGTATGTGGATTATGTGTATTTCATATACATTTCTATGTATCAAGTAAAAGAAAAACGGAAATCAAAATGGCATCTAATCACTGATTTCACCTGAAAATGTACGTATATGTATTAACATATAAACAGTAGCAAGAAATTTAGAATAAGTAGAATGTAATGATCATTAGATTTTTTTCATAGAATTGATTAATTTTTGTGTTTTTTAAATTTAGAAGAATTGAAAGAACTAACTCATGTTACTTAAATACCTTTAGAAAAAGGAATTAGAGGAATGTTGATTGAAAACCTTAATCATGAGATGAGTTAGTAAGCTGGTACCCAGAAACTTGGTCTCTGAATTTCTGAGCGCTCACATCTCTCCTGGGCTTAGTCGTTTTATAGAGGAAAGATCAAGAAATGAAGTGAACTTGGAAATCTTTCCCTTATAAGGCAGCCCTGCAGATCATTGCCAGGCTAGAGAAACCAGGGACTCTAGGAAGAGGCTGAGAAGCGGATTCTGTCACTGCTCTTAATTCTCCTCTTGGACAAATAAAGAAATCCCTTGGCATGAGATATATTTAATGCAGACATTAAAAGTATAACTTAGTTTTAACAATACATTCTCTAAGATAGTTTTAAAATGCACTAATATTAAGGACTGTTCAGGAAGAACTTTCACTAGTATCTCTTGCAGTTACTTGCCGATGAATTGTGGAGGCTGATTGACCTTTGTGGTCTCTGTGGCCCCTGCTGAAGGCGGGAGCTGAGGCCTCCCTGGTTTAATTTTGTAGACAGTACTTTGTGTAACAATACAATTCTAGCCTTAAACAGACCCCTGCACCACTTTAGAGGCCAAGAATGAGATCCGGAGAGTTTGGTGGTATGGCCCAGGGCAAAGTCCAACAGTGGCCAACCCCGAGCCAGCAGGCAGGGCTCCTGGCTGGGTGGTCAGCTGTGTGGGGAGCGCGCCCCCAGCCCCCTTGCCTTCTCCTGCCCCTGTCCTCCGCCAGGGTGAGTGTGAACTTTTGGCGTCAGAGTCATGCCTGGACCCCCTTCCTTCCCCGCTCCCTCTGCCCAGCAAGTGCCTCCAGCTGCCCCTCCCGGTCTCCAGCATAATAAACGAGGAGTGAGCAGGGGGCTGCACACACACTGCCACACGGAACCCGCCCCACCCCGGAAAGAGACCCCCGTCCTGCAACAGCCCTGAACCAACCACACATTTACCTGAAAAGGACCAACTATACCTTCCTTTTGAAAACTGACAGAAAAGTAAGTCAGAATCCCAAAAGAGGTGATTAGAGTCCCTTGTTTAGCCACTGAAACAGGCACCAGCTGTGGCTACCACCTAGCTCGTGGCCCCATCTGTGTGCCTTGTCACCCTGCCTCCCCCACCCCCCAGGTCTCTTATATTTCGGGAGGTGTGGTGGAAACATACTGATAGTACACATTTGTCTCCTTTTAGAGAAAAAGTTGTCATGGAAGTACAAAGAAAGCAAATGATGTGAAAACTAGATTTTAAAAATGAGCAGTTATACCTAAGGATTTAGATTAATCTCTTCTTGCCACTGTTCTGAAGCAAAGACATTTTTAATCAAAAAACATTTCTTATAATGTAATCCATACCTCTAAATTATGTATTAAAGGAATAAATTTATATTATCTCAATTATTTGAGCAACTCTTTAACGTGAATTTATCATCACTGGGGAAATGGCCATCTTTATTTTTGTGCTTTCAGTAAGGAAAGCGCTTCCACATAAATAGAAAACCAAATTAGAAGAGAAGGTTTCAGCCATGTAAATATTTTCTAACCTAAATATCATCCTCATATTTTTTTAAAACCTTCTTTGAATAATACTGGTTTCCACAAGGGCACCTCTAAGACTAATTTGATTTCATTGTGTTCAATCCTGGGGAAAAAAAAAAAAACAACCCTATGCATTTTTTATGAGCCCCAAATACAGGGACCAACTTATAATTGTCTAAATAAAAATTTTCTCTTTCTGATTTGCCCTTTACGGTTGACATTAAGTGCCTTAGAATTATTTCTGGACTTTGCACAAATATCCATAATTAATACATACTGTGACTGGAAAGATTTGAAAGAACATTATCTAGACTCTAAAAATATGGCTGAAAATAAAAAGACTCAAACCTACTGGCCAAGAAACAATGGATTTTCAAAGCTAAGGTCAAGCCTCTGTGGGGGAGAATGAAAATGGGGAAGAAACTCAAAGGTAGTCGAATTGTGCTTTCAAACTATGTGGTATGCAGAAATAGCCTAAACCTTCAGAATTCCAGAAAAGTCACTGTTGAGGGGGATGTAAAGTACAGCATAGGGAATAGAGTCGATAATATTGTAATAACTATGTATGGTGCCTGGTAGGTACAGGAAATATCGGGGTGGGGGGCATTCTGTGAAGTATATGATTGTCTAACCACAGTGCTGTACACCTGAAACTAACACAGAATAATATTGAATGTAAACTAATTGGAAAACATTTTTTAGAAAAGGAAAAGTCACTGTCCTAGAGAAGAGGGATGGTGTTGAGGTCCCCGGGTTTTGTACTGTTTCTTCCATTGCTGCTTACAGTCATGATACTCTTCCAGGGGTGGGGAGGCGGTGTAATTGGGGGACAAGCTGATGGAGACTTGCAAAAATTTTAGCTTAAAAGAGCCGTGAAAATCAACCTACCCTGAGGCCTTCTTCAAAAGAGAGAAAACTTTAAAAGCTATCATCTTAAATGTGTGGTTGCTTGTATTCTAAGAAGGACATATTGAAATAACTATGCAGATTTAAAAAGAGTACAGAATATAGAATTAATATTCATTATTCAAAAAAGAGGCCTTGAATATTTGTGCAGTATATTTGAAAGGAATGGTAATTAAAACAATTTAAAAATTTATAGCTATGTAACCTAGTACATTTCCCTTCCCTTCGCACCATCCATACACACATTTCATCTTCATCTTCGTCTTCCTCAGTGTTGCCATATCATCAGCATTCTTTGAAAACCAGCCCGGTGTGAGGATCACAAAGGAAATGTGATGTGATTAGTATGAGCCATAAAAGAGCTTATAATCCAAAAAGGAAGACAGAAGACTGACATAAAAATAAAATCACCAAATACAAAGGCATGCTAATATAGAAACATAACCAGGCCAAGAGATGTGGAAAAAGAAATGTTGTTGGTAGTGACTAGGAGTCATTGCCTGTCCCTTCTCCCAAATGCCTGAGAAGAGACCTTGCCCAATTTAAAGCCTAGAACATTTATGCATAAGGACATATCATTTGTTGTGATTTAGAAGACACATTTGTTTATAATAATCACCTGGTGGTGATTTAGCCCTTTAAGAAAGTGTTAATGTCTTCATCTAATACTACTGTAGCCTAGTAGCTTGAAAGGATTAATGTAACTTTCAAATCCGTGCCTCATACTTAGTAGTAGTCAAGGATTGGAGAGGATTTGGTTTTGTTAAACCAGCCTCTTCCTTTCTCTTACTCTCCTTCCTCCAGAAAAGAAGCAGACCACTGCCCCCAGGTGGTTGTGGTGGGGGAGAGAGGGGCATCTCTGGTACAGGTAAGGACACTCACAGGTTGGACACCAGCCAGTGTGTAGGCAGGGGTTGCCAGATTTAGCTATGAAAAGACAGGAGGTCCAATTAAATTTGAATTTCATATAAACAAGTACTTTTTTTTTTTAGTACAACTATATCCCATGAGAGTATAAATTTGAAATGTAAATATAAATATATTATGAGACAGATACTAAGAAATTATTCCTTGCTTATTTGAAATTCCAATTTAACTAGGCTTCCCTCATTTTTCCTGGCAACCCAAATTTTGCATCTACCCCAGGACCTGCCTTGGAAACTGAGACCCTGAATAGACTGGGGAGAAGCAATTTATCACATTCCTGTGTTTCTTTACCCTAATATTGGTCCTCTGTGGCCAGAGAAGACAGCAGGCCGAGCTGACGTCCAGTGAGCTTGGTCACAGCTGACCCAGGGACCTTGTTCTGCGGAGCAATCTTTGTGGGAAGGCAGCAAAGGAAAGATTTACTGACCATATTCTTCTGCCTTGAAGGGAAAAATCTAATTAGCTATTCGGACTTCAAATTTAATTTTACATATATTTTTTAAAAATTTAAAAAAACCTCAGTAATCATAGTAACCATTGATATTATAAATAATATTTAATACTGCTAAATAATGCTAAAGGAAAATGTTCATTATATAACAAATGGAAAAAGATTAGGTAATAGTATATTTAGTATGATCCTAATTCTGGTGTTTTTTTTTTAAAGCGCATTTATGTAGAGAAAAACACTGTTAGGATATACACCAAATGTATGCCCAGAAATTTGGATGATTTTAACATTTTCCTCTCTTCATATTTTCTAAATGTTCTATAATGAGCATACTACATTTGAAATAGGTAAACAAAAAATTAAGATTTTTCGAATTATAAAACCATCTTTTGAAAGAATTTTTGAAGTTTAGTTTCTAAATGCTCTTCTCTTAGAGGGTTAAAGAGAACCTAGTTTTTTAGAGCTGAAAATAGACTGAGTCACAGAGCCAAATGGCTCTTCCAGTAAGTGTCATGAGATTTGTCTGTCACAAAATAGACAAGGTTGTGGTAACTTACCTGAGAGGCTCCCCCTGCACCCGTATCTAAGATTAAAATGTTGGGTCATTGATTTCATTCAGCAACCAGTTATTATGCATTGAGAAGGTCAGACGTAGTAGTTATGCATTTTTAGTGAGGCCCCTTTAATATATGATACTTCTAGTGTATTTGAACCTAATAATATTAAGGTCAATTTCTTAGTCCTCTTTATAGTATATAAAATGTTTCGGATTTTCAATGAAGAAATGAGTCATTTGACGTTTGTGTTGTCTTCACGCAGCCGATGGAAAATGCCTGGTGTCAGTTGGTTTAGACGATTTTCACAGTATTGTATTTTGGGACTGGAAGAAGGGAGAAAAGATCGCCACAACACGGTAAGAAGCTGCTGAGGTCTGCCGGCCTCCTGCTGATTATCACGCTTCAGTATAGGTCATAGTTTTCATTATCTGGGAAGATTTCATTTTCAAGCTCGGATGAAATTCGCACAGAAAGCTTAATTTTAACATCCAAGTGAAAACACATTGCAATATTTCATGGTGTCGCACCTGACCTAGAGCAGTTAATGTTTGTTTCAGGGAATTGAAACATTCTGAAATCCTTTCCAGAGAGTTAGTCATCACTTTGCTTTTAGTAATAAATGCATTATCTATATCAGAGCTTTTTTTACGAGCAGTAGAAAAGCGGCTTTTCTCAGGCTTGTGCCTTGCCCCTTGTTTTTCCACTCTTAGCATCTGGTGAAGGATTGTCAATGTCACTGGAGTCAGAAGTCCCATTTGTCATGAGGCCGTGGCCTGCTGGGAAGGAGGCCCCGACGTGTGTGCCTGCCACTCGCTTTCAAAGCAGTCAAATTGTTTCCCTAATCTCCCCATCTTATAAATAGATTTTTCAAGACTGCTGTTTATAGACCACCTGTCCTCACCCCAGCCTCCCTCCCTGCTGAATCAGCTCTGTGTCTGAACGTTACTTTCCACTAGTACTAACATTGGGGATAGCTCTTTGCCAGCCATGGTCACAGGTCGAACTAGCTGGCAGCCAAGGCCCAGCAATGTGTTATGTTGCCCTAGGCATGTTATCAATTTACCTCTCCACTGGTTCTTCCCTGCAATGACCAACTTTTAAATTCATAATATAAAATCTTTTGTTTTAAGAGAAGCAATTCTTTTTTTTTAAATATTTTTTGCTTATTTTTATTTTTAGAGAGAGGGGAAGGAGGGGAGAAAGAGATGGAGAGAAACATCAATACGCGGTTAGCTCTCACGCAGCCCCTCCTGGGGACCTGGCCCCCAGCCCAGGCATGTGCCCTGACTGGGAATCAAACTGGTGATCCTTCGGTTCACAGGCTGGTGCTCAGTCCATGGAGCCACACCAGCCAGGGCTAAAATCATTTTTAAGTGAAGAGCTTTGAACCTCAGTGTTGCACTTACTTTTTAAATTAATATTTTCCTCCACAATATTAAGTGGGGAAAAAGGGGTTTTTTTTGGGAATTTGATTTAATGAATGAAGATTTATCAATTGCTGGAGATGCAGAGAAGGAGCAGATGGAGCCTTGAGGACTCCAGCTGACCGTCGTGAGAGAAGAAGCGAAGCTTTTCTGATTACCGCTGTTGAGATGGAGTTCTTGGCAGCAAATGGCAGCTCATAAATCCGCCTGTCCAAGGGGCTCTTCTTTTGGTCTTGCCTTCTACCCCTCCTCACTGGTGTATCACTCCCCTCTAATATCAGATTTAGGTCCTACTCAGAACTCTGCGTTCCTCCTAGACAAATAAACTGAATTTTAGGTTAATATTTCTGATAACATACCATCTGCATTAGCAGGGAATTGCAGGCAAAGCACATGCCTGCATTTCAAAGGCAACAGAAATGCAGTTTTCCTGCCAGAGCACCGTCTGCCACTGTGGGGGGCTCATCAGTTGTGTGCCAGAAGCGTTCGCAGAGATGGAAGAAGCAGTATTTAGTAACAGAAAGAAGTAGGTACTTGGTGTCCATGGTAGTGTTACCTCTACTTAATTTAAGGAACACAAAGCGACTTAATACCATTATATGAATAACACAATTTATTTTTGGAATTGTTCCCAAGCCTTATGTCACATTCTCAAACAAGACACCCACAGAATCACCATCAGAAAACATTTTTGCATTGGTCATATTAATCAGTGCTCTTTCCAAGACTTCCCAAGATTGCTAAAGTTCTTTGGAAGAATATTAAGTTTTACAATAATAAATAAATAATGAGTATTTACATAAATACTTCTTTATATAATATTAACAATAATAAATTTTATATAGTAAGAAAAAAATAAAAATTCTATTTCTGGCCTCAAGTTAGGGTGCTTAAATAGATAAAAAGGTAACCAACAGAGGCTTGAAGGAAGTGACAAAAAGAAGTTCTACCTTGCTGGTGGCACCCGCTGGCCTGGGTTCTCACGAGACAGCTCTGGGCTCTGCAGCAGACGCCCCCCGGGCCCTGTGGAAGGCCAGGTCAGCAGGTCCAGGCCGAGGATCAGTCTTTACTGTTTGTTACACTCTGCCCCTTGGGTCATAAACCTACATTTCTGAAGGCACAGCACCTGAAAGTTCCTTGAATCAATAGAGAACGTGCTTTCTCTCTCCATGCATGTGAGCCAGGGGCTTCAATTTCTAGTGACTACATTTCTAGCGGAAACTCTGTTTAACCCCAAGTTATGATTTCCACAGTAAGAATATTACACTTGGAGCTTCTCACTAAGGCTGTTGCAGTGCCTCTGCCCTCCTCCTGGTTCAGACCTCTATATCCCAGGAATTATTCACAATCCTGTGGTGGTGACATTAATGGTATCTTACAGAGACACTCTGACCCATTTCAGATATTTCATTAATTTGTTTTAAGCATGAGTAAGTAGACTTTGGTAGCAATATCAGGGTCAGAAGAAAGGGCTCAAACATGCAGAGAAAAGCCAATGCTTATTATTTTGATATAAACCCTGTGTGTATTTTAAGTGATCTAATATAGTTGTCCTGTTACATGTACTTAATGAAAATTAGACCAAATACATGCTTTTATTAAAAGTCTCTCATTGCTTCCATCAAAACTAGAATTATTTTTCTTTCTTGTCTCTTACAGAGCACATAAAGATAAGATATTTGTGGTAAAGTGTAACCCACACCATGTTGACAAGCTGGTTACAGTTGGGATAAAGCACATCAAATTCTGGCAACAAGCAGGTACTGTTGCTTGGTTTTATCATGTACGTGGTTGAGAGCTGAAGAAAACCATGACTGCTACCTATCCTGTCTCTGCAATCTAAAGTTAAAATGCTCCTAAAAGATGTTCTCTCCCAAATTCACTTTGGACTGCTTAATGCCTAAGCTGTGAATCAGAACACTGTATATGATGCTATGCATATTCATCGATACCTAGAAAGTTTTGAACAGTGTTCTGCTCTGAAAATAATTATCTTTAGTCCTCTGTTCTGAAAGCAGTAATGATGTTGGACTGCTGAGCAGGAAGTAAAATAATCACATTCGTTGCGTGAATACAATTTTCACTGTATTTCACAAGATTTCTTTATCACTGAATTTAGAAAATGAATTAAATCCTTACACTACACACAGTAGGTGGTCAGCTAAATATTTGTAGATTATAATATTGGTAATAATGATGAGTAAATAAGCATGACAAAACGTGGACTGTTATCTTATTCTTCTCACTAATAAGTCATATATGTTATTAAAATTGTTTCTAGACTCTTAGTGTCAGCTTTAATACCAAGCCCAATTTTATACTGATCAAAACATAAGTAAGCTACTGTTCAATGCTCTCTGTTTTTCAAGAAAGAATAAAGGCACCCAGCGTGTCTGGGGAGCCAGCCGGCACAGAGTTGTCTGGAATGAGTCTGATTTCTCAGTGCTAGTCAGGAAGTGCAGGGAAATGAGAACATCTAAGGCACGAATCTGAGGCACCTTCTCCTACACAGTGATTCATTTTTCTCACCTCAGAGTTGCTGTGACAAAAGTTGAGGCAAAACATATATAACATGTTTATATTTTGCATTCACAGCTGGTGCTATTTCTGTTCTTTTTGCTCAAAATTAATGAAGATGGTCCTGGCTCCCCCAGACACTTAGTCACTCCCGCCCCTGGCTGTCACAGAACTTGCACTGATCCTTGGTTAGACAAGGACCCTACGTCTCATTGGACTGAGATGCGTAGGAAATGCGTATTGAGTCCCCTCTCCAACCAGATCCTAAGTTCCTTGAAGGCAGGGTCTCTCTTTTCATCTTTGCACCCTACATTGACACCGTGCCTTCCACAAAGCAGGCACTCAATAAACCGCGAATAAATGCAGGAGTGAATGAGAAACCCCCTTATATTTTTGTCTGTGGTATTTTCTGCTGTTTTTATAGATCTCTGCATATACACATAATGTTGACACACTGAGTTTTTCCTTGAAGGTAGTCATTCTACATGTTCATAGAAGGTGTCACTTTTTTAAAAAGGTAATAAATACTCTTGGTCCACTCCAGGTGGGGGCTTCACCTCTAAAAGAGGAATTTTTGGAAGTGTCGGAAAATTGGAAACAATGATGTGTGTTTCTTATGGGCGAATGGAAGATCTAGTGTTTTCAGGAGCAGCTACTGGAGATATTTTTATTTGGAAAGATATTCTGCTACTGAAGACCGTGAAGGCTCATGATGGGCCTGTGTTTGCTATGTATGCATTGGATAAGGTAAGGTCTACTTTCCAGAATTCATTTTCCTTATCAACTTTCTAAAGTTGTAAATTAGTCTTAGAAAGAGAATCCTCTGTCCGGACACAGTACCCTCTGAATTAGGAAGGAGACGTAAAGAACCTACAGTCAAGGGAAGAGAGTGAGTACAGATAATTAAATTCTTCTCTTTCATTTATAACTATTTCTTTAGATGCAATTTCTCTCCACTTATTTTCACTTGTTCTTCCTGGCTCTCATTTCCTAAGAGCTTCTTAAGAATTAGCACTGGGATAAACGTAGACGCACGGTCGCAGAAGAGACCTGAGAACTACCTCAGCATCATCTCCCTCCTTCATGGCACAATAAGCAAAGACCTAGAAGTACCAAGTGGTTAGACTATTGTTCCACCCATTAATTTGACCAAAAATTATGTTGATAACCAGTTTGTTCCTGTGTAGACAGGTTCACTTTAACAAGAGTGTTTCAGTGAGGTCTTTTCATCAGCTGTTTTAGGATTCTCCACAGAAACAGAACCAGTGGAATATACATATACATATCCTACAGTCACGTACCACTTAATGAGGGGGGTGCATCCTGAGGAATGAGTCATTAGGTAGTTCTGTCATTCAGAGTTGTGCTGACATAGAGTGTCCTCAAACCCAGGTGGTATAGCGACTACTGTGATTGTATGTGCTATACTTTTACACAGCTGGCAGCCCAGTAAGTTTATTTACACGAGCATCACTACAAACACGTGAGCAATGCATTGTGCTTCTACATTACAATGTTAACTAGGTGATGGGAATTTTTCAGCTGTTATAATCTTACGGATCCACTGTTGTATATGCAGACTGTCATTGAACGAAATCTCATTAGGTGTCACGTGGCTATTTGAAAAGGAGATTGATTATGAGGAATTGGCTCATGTGATTATGGAGGCTGAGGAGTCCCACCGTGACATCTGCGAGCTGGAGAGCCAAGAGAGCCGGTGGGGTAGTGCAGCGCGAGTCCAAAGACCCCAGCACCAGGGGAGCTGGTGCTGTAAATGCCAGCCTGAGGGCGGGAAAAGAGATGGGACCCCCAGCTCAGGGAGTCAGGGAAGAAAGGGATCAACTCCTCCTTTCTCTGACCTCTGTTCCAGCCAGCCTTCCTCTCTGGGGAGGGCGACCTGTTCTAAGGCGTCCACCGATTCAGATGCTAATCTCCTCCAGAAAGGCTCTTACAGACGCTTACAGAAGTAACGTTTAATCTGAGCTCCTTTTTCCCATCAAGTTGACACAAAATTAGCCCTCACACTGGCCACACTTCCACTCAAGCTCACCTTTGTCCTTATCTGTCCAGATTCCCACCTGCCTTAGTCTTTCTTTATAAAGGTCACACTTACCTTAAGTGCTATTAAAACATTTTTTTCAGTGAATTTGTCAGAAAATATCAATTTGTCATTCCACGCTCACTTGCTGGGGGTACCAATTCCTCTGTGCTCTTTGACCTCCAAATAGTCACTTAACACACCTATGACAAGCCTCATTTTGCATTTACCCATTCCCAGGTAAATATGCTGATCCCCCTGCAGAAGTAGCTTCTTGTTACGTGTGCAACTATATGGTTGTTTTAGTCATTACACTGTTTTGTTATTTTAACTAGAACACTTGTTTTTGGTTAAACTGAAAATGTTAGAAAAGATTGAAGCGGAATGCAAAATACGTGTAGGCCTGGAAGTTGATGTGATATAACATGTTTAAACTTTTTTATTGCTTGGTAACTTAAACTGACAAATCATGGGAAAAGACAAGGATATCACAGTATAATATACTGCACTTAAATTTAATTTGGGGATTGAATTTCCCTGGGTGCAAAATCAATAGTAAGAATAAGAATATTTAATGTAATAAACTTCAAAATATTATTTCCTCATGCACATCATTCAAATGCAGTAAATTAAAAGTTTCTGAGAAAACAATGAATTACTCAGTATTTTTCTTAAAAAAAAAAAAACAACAGAAAGACTTTTCTATGAACACTTGGTATATATGATAAGTTGTCAGGAAGGAAAACTGTTAAGGCCAGGAAACTGTAAACTTAGAACAAGAATAACGATCACTGTTTAGTAAAATGTATGCAATATGTTAAGCTTCTTTCTTTCCCGGTTTTGTAAAACTTAACCTGGTTTTTAATTACTGTGGAAATTGATGTCTGTTGAACAATTTAGCAGGATGGTTTTGTTATATAAAGTGCCTAATTTACTCTTAATAATAAATAATTATGTTTTCTTCTAGAAGTAATTATTTAATTTAAAAATATTTAACAATCATTTTCATTGTGATGTTAATACTGATTCATTCTGGAGGAGTGTACGAGATACCAAAAACGGCCAGACTTTGAGGCTGGTCCTGGTCTGCAGGGACCCACCCCCTAGTCAGGGGACTAGGCACAGAAACAGCCGAGGCCCCGGGTACCAAGAGCCAAGCGGTGGTCTGGTGGAAGTGCAGTGGCCACACAACAAGAATGTACTTGATCCTGCTAGAGAAGTAGGGGAGAGATGCTTCCAGAAAATACCATACTATTATTCATGTGGTCAGATTTTTCAGTCGCCGGTGCTTAGGAGGAAAGCACACACGAAGCTGCCTGACTCGAGGGGCACCCCTGTTGGGACTGGGTGGGTCTCCGGCCACTTCAGTCTGCATATAATTGTTCCCGTGTGCGTCTTCACAGGGTTTTGTAACAGGTGGAAAGGATGGAATCGTGGAGCTCTGGGATGATATGTTTGAAAGATGCTTGAAGACTTATGCCATTAAAAGAGCAGCATTGTCAACTAGCTCTAAAGGTACCACTCCCAAAGGCACAGTAGAAATATTTCTGTTGATAGGGACGGAAACAATAGTACTAATGCACTTGGAAAAGCATGATCAAGTCAGTTTCTTTCTTACATATTCAGAGCTCTAGGTCCCTGGTAGAAATGTCAAGGATGACTAGTAGTATTTTGGAACTATAAAAACAGGATTTATATAATAATCTTTTTTTTTTGTTGTTGTTCTATTAAATACATTTCCCCTCTCAGGCTTGCTTTTGGAAGATAACCCTTCAATTCGTGCCATCACTCTGGGGCATGGACACATCCTGGTGGGAACCAAAAATGGAGAGATCCTGGAAATTGACAAAAGCGGCCCAATGACACTGCTTGTTCAGGTACTGTGCTTGTACATATTCTAAACCACAGTTCACATCAGAGCCAGACCTGGGGTGAGGGAGCAGTCGCTCTCAGGGTTGTGCAAGTACTAATTACCTGCTGCTGTGTAGCAAATTGCCACAAACAGTAGCATTCAAAACAGCGCACATTTATCACCTCTCCATTTCCACGGGTCAGGCGTTGGAGCATGGCTTGACTGGGTCCTCTCCCTAAGGTTCCGCAAGGCTGCAGTCAGAGTCTGGGCTGCAGCCTCCTCTGAGGCTCAGCCGAGGAAGGACCTTCCTGCAGATCACTCAGGCTGTTGGCAGAATTCAGCTCCTTGTGAGTGTAGGACTGACAACCTCCATTCCTTACTGGCTGTTGGCCAGAGGCCACCTTCAGCTTTCACATGCTGTCCACAGGTCCTTGCCACATGGGGTTCCCCACCATGGCCCCTCGCTTCCTCAAAGCCATCATGGGAGAGAAAAAACAGGCACTGTAGTCATATGTAACATAATCATATCACCACATGCACGTAATCATGAACATCCATCACCTTTGCCTATTTTTTTTGATTAAAAACAAGCCACAGGTCATGCCATACTCAAAGGGAGGTAAGCACATAAGAGCGTGAAACTCAGGGGCATCATGAGAGTCACCTCAAAAGTCTTTCCATCAGAGGCCACCCTCTGGCCACCAATTATTCATGTTCCTACCCATTCAAAATTCATTCCCTCCTGCCAAGGGCTCCAGGAGCCTTATCCCATGACTGTATCTGCTCCAAGTCCATACTCCTATCATCGAAGTCAAGTGCAGGTGTGCTAAGGCCCCTTAGGTGTATTTTCTCTCCGTCTGTCCATCTGTAAAACTAAAAAGTTCTTTGTTCCGTACACACCAAACATATAAGCACCCCTTTAGAAGTTGTGCCTCACTTAAGCCTCAGCCTTGGCAGAAAAGCATTACATTCTCCTTACCCTCCCTCTGCCCTCAAGAATTACCTTCAGGTAAAATCAGATTAAAATAAATATCAATAAATCCTCAAAGATAAACAAAATGATACAGTCTCCCCTAAGGGGGCGGTGGTTTGTGGAGGTGAGTAGGTAGGTGGTCCTGTCCAATTTGGTGAGTGATGAATAGACCTTATTTATAGATGGAAGAGGCACCGGGTAAGGGGGAGTGTTCAGAAAGCGAAGTGAAAGAATGAGCACTGATTATATGCGCTTCAGAGCTTGCGCGAGTCCAAGAAAAGGAGCTTCTCCTCCTCCCCTGACCTGACTCCTGCCCGTGGGCCCGTGTTACTAGGGACGCGTCCCCAAACGCCAGTGGGAGGGGTCTTCTGAGTGACTGCACTCTGGGAACAGGCTGCACACAGGTCATGGCTTAGAACAAACACTCTGAGGTTCTGAAATGCACATGCTCAAGTCCTACTCCAGATATCCTGGAGAATCTTCGTTTAAAAAGATTCTGTGTTAACAACAAACCTCAGAAGCTGTACCGCTGACGGTGCCCGGCAGCCAGGACTGAGAACTGTGCTGGAGAGGTGTCCCCAAGGTGGACTTTTCTGGTCTCCAGCTGCTTGTGCTTTTGTTATTTCCTGCCATGTTAATTTCATTTTCTTCCTGGCCATGACTTCTTATTTAATTTTATTGAAACGCAAGTGGTGTTTGTTTCAACTTAAAACAACATAAAGACTTTTTAACTCATAATTGATTTTTTTAAAGCTTATTTATTTGTTTATTTTTAGACAGAGGGAAAGGGAGGCAGAAAGGGAGGGAAACATAAATGTGTGGTTGCCACTTGTGCAGCACCCCCTAGTGGAGGCTTTGCCCACAACCCAGGCATGTGCCCTGACTGGGAATTGAACTGGTGACCCTTTGGTTCTCTGGCCAGCACTCACACCAGCCAGAGCTCATAATTGACTTTTATAATGCCCACATATTTAAGACTTTAAATTGTTTTCATACATGCTATATTGCTAGATATTTTGTAAGATTTATAGCATAATATGATTTAAACAATACTGTAAGATTTAAACTGTGTTTCCTAATTTTAAACTCTAAGTATTATGTAACAGTTGTTTAAATATGTTTCAGACTTAACAATAAAGTCTTTTTACTTTTTTGTTCTCTACAGTTCTTTCTTATATTCATTTCTATTTTTCTAATAGTACAAATAACCACAGGTATCATTTGAGCACCTAATATATGTCAGGCACTATTGTTGTACAGTCTATCATCTACATAGCAGATTTGCTCAGTTGAAATTGTTTGGTTTTTCTTTTCTTTCTTTCTTTCTTTCTTTCTTTCTTTCTTTCTTTCTTTCTTTCTTTCTTTCTTTCTTTCTTTCTTTCTTTCTTTCTTTCTTTCTTTCTTTCTTTCTTTCTTTCTTTCTTTCTTTCTTTCTTTTTTATGAGAGACCCAAAACCCAGTAAATTGCCCTCAGCTTCATGCTAAGAACTGCAGAGCTGGGATTCAAACCAAGGTTTGTCAGACACCAGAACCCTTTCTTTTTCCTCCCAGCTGGCTGTTCTCTAAACTCAGCATGGAGGCACCCCCCTGAGCTGCGTAGCTGGTGGACCATTTTCTCTCCTGACCTGTGCACCATTCTTTTCTTTTTCCTTCAGCATCTCTTCCCCTTCTGGTCTGTCATGCACTTGCTGTCCCCTCCTAAGAAGAACTCAGTAGTTGAAGCCAGTCAGAGTTTGTTGGGCTCCTGCTGAGTTGGGCCCTGTGCTGTGCACGGTGAACAGGGCTCCCTGTTGGCAGGCTCCCAGCCCTGTTCTGAGACAACACGGGCCCCGAGGGAAAGCCCCGGGGCAGTAGAGGCAGTGTGAGGAAGACCACCAGCTAACCCGCTGTGGGAAGGTATCAGGTAACGTTTCCAGGTTCAACAGCATAGCAATCCAATAGCACTTGGAATACATTGCGTATTTTAAGAGAAGGAAAGCTAGGTTGGGGAAAGAGAAGGGACAGGAAGTGATTTCTGATCATTTCCATCCTGTGTGCTTTGAGTGTAATCAGCTCAGTTGTGCGGCTGTCTATTATCATCAGCTTTATGGGGGTTAGAGTAGGAAAGTAAGATCCCCCATTCATTTCCTTATGCCACTCAAGCTACCCCCAGACTACCTCGCATACTGTCCATTCCTATGTTACACAGGAATTACTACAATCAGATTAAGGAAATAGAATTTTTTTAATCAACCTATTAGGCAGTGGTTTGAAAGGGTCTCAGAGCCCCACAACCCTGTCCTCCAGCAAAATGAACAGAGGGGCTTGCTTTGTAGAAGAACTGCAGGCAGGCCCGGCCTTGGGGCCGGTGGGGGTGATGTCTGACCCATCCTCTGATGGAGGTCTTCAGGGTGGGAGCCTTCTGCAGAGAACCAGGGGTATCGGGTGCTCCAAATCAAATAAATTCCAAAACAACACTTAAACCCTTCAGCCCTTCTCAGATGATTGAATGTCACCTGTACTCGGAACTTTGTGTTTTCTGCCAGAGAACTGTTTTCCTCAAACAGCTTCCCAGTTAAACCGGGATCACCCAATTTCCCTTTGGAAAGCCGCCTGTTCCCCAAAGCAGTCCAGTGCCAGACACCTTTCAGATGCCTGTGTATGGTCTTCCTTTTCACTTTACTAAGCAAAGCCTTTTTATAATTAGCCGCTAAAAGTAGAAATTCAGCAAACAATCTGTTCTTTTTTATTGCTCTGTGCACTGATCTATTCTTTCCACTGCTTTATTGAGTGATAAATTATAGGGATAGGATTTGTTTTCTCTGTAATCATTCATTTTTAAATACTGTTTTATGTCAGTTATTAGTCTAGGACAGTTGAGTGTGTTTGTGATTAAGATATAGATAGGGATGTGGAATTGGTCCAATGCCTATTAAGCACCTTTCAATTTTCCGGTGTTCATTGGATAGACTAATTTGTGAACAAATGAACCCAGGACACTTTTAGAATATGGTTTTATTGAAGGAAGTGGTTTGTGTCATTGTATCAAGCTGTTTTACAAGGAGATGCATGCATACTGGGTTTATTTGATGACAAACAACAGGAAAGAATGAAGGCACTTCATTATTCACCAAGATGTTTCTAAATGAGATGTTTGACATCATTTAAAGCAAAATGTATAAGCGGTGAGTCTGTGTTTTGCTTCCCAAATGAATGCTTTAGCATCGTGTTGGCCCAGCTTTAGATTCAAGTTCAAATGAAAAACTTATTCACTGCAATCATTTTGGCCCAAGGAAGCTGTAACGGCGTTTATTCCTATTTCAACCTGTCTGGAATACCCTTGGGCGGAATGTGCAGCGCAAGGCTGGCAAAGAGCGAGCCAGGAAGCATGGACCGAGTTGATGTTGTCCCGTTTCCTCTCCACAGGGACACATGGAGGGGGAAGTGTGGGGGCTGGCAGCTCACCCTCTCCTGCCCATCTGTGCAACAGTGAGCGATGATAAAACACTTCGCATCTGGGAATTATCCTCCCAGCACCGTATGCTGGCAGTACGGAAACTCAAAAAAGGTACCTGACATCACCTCGCACATCTGTGAAAGTCTTTCCAAACAACAGAATGGGTTGGATTCATTTGTTCATTCAACTGATATTTACTGACAGTGCCTCTTGCACGCCCCCAAAACATCGGGCAGTGGGCATGCCCCACAGTCGTACCGCAGCACACGCAGAAGCACTTCAGGGGGCTGATCTATGGGTGCCAGCTCTGTTCTTCACTTGCTTTTCCTTGCACTTCACAGACATTTGCCACCTGGGGGCAATATGTCCTTCCTCTTCTTGTCAAGAGCTGTGCGCATCCGTGGAAGTGCCTCGGCTTGTAAGGAATGCTGTTTAACTATATATCTCATGGTCTCCAGAACTGATTTTATTCCTGAAAAACAAAACTCAGCTACACAAAAAATAATTCTTAATATCAAGAAATGAGTAATTATGTATCAAACATGTGTATGGACTAGAACTAAGAAATATGCCAAGTACAGATTCAGCAAACATTTATTGAGTAGCTTCTATGTGTCAGGCACTGGGGATCCCAAGATGAACAGTCCCATCTCTAGTGTCAGAGATGGACAAGATTTGAACAGGGTTCCAGCAACAGATGGACCATTCAAACTGGGTAATTTGAGGAGAGTCTAAAAACAAGACTCTTTGTAAAGGGGTGGGGAGAGAGTTGAGAAATGACCAGGGTTGGTGCAGCTCAATGTAGCTATTAGCGGCTGGGTTCCATTACCCACCCTGGGCTTGAAGGGGCAAGAGGAGGGAGTGATTGTGTGAAACTTAAAATGAGAGTGGTGTGAGTTGGCAGCCGACAGCAGCTTTGACCATCAGCCCAGAGATTCGCCCACATGCAGTGACCCCACAGCAAGACAGCTAGGGGAACCCTCGCTTCCTCCCTCTCTCCCTCCCTGTCTCCTGCCCATGCTCCGCCTTGGCCAAACTCAATCAGAAGCCGGAGGGCGAGGAGGCCCACTGATGCCATCCACAAAGCCCAGCCCCAGGCAGTGAACAGGGTGCAGAGCGGGTATGGAGAGACAAACCAGAGATGCCTGGCACACACACAGTACCGTGGAGGCTCTGAGGAAGGTCTGCTGCCACAGTCGGCTTCATCATGGGAGAAACATGAGAGCTGAGGCCCAGAGGCTTTGTGGAAGTTCTTAAGACAGAAAAGGATAACATTGGGGTCTAACGCTGAAGTATTTGTATTGGGTAGTTTTATAAGCAGAGAGACATGAGGCGTGTATTCTAAGATAAAATAAAGGTGTCGAGAGAGTAGTAATAATAATGATAGTGGCAAATATTGCTGAGCCAGTGACTGTGCGGGCACTTGGAATTTGGTCTTCACAGAAACCCAAATATTGTTACCACTTACAAATGAGGAAACTGAGGCACAGAGAACTTAAGTCACTTGCCAAAAGTCTCACAACCTGTAAGTGATGACGCTGAATTCAGAGAGAGCACATTCAGTGGCCACTGTGTGACGCTGTCCCCTCCCACCATATTGCTTCTCTTTACACTGGACTTCTGGGCCTCTGTAGGTGGAAACGCAAGCCCAGGTGTGACTCTGAAGCCCATGCTCTTAACCAACACAGATCAGATCATTTTGCTACTAATTCCTACTGCGGAAATGATAGACCACGTCCTCATTGTGAGTGACTCAAGTGTCAGAAAAATGGACTTTAGTCACTAGTTAGAAATCAGTTCAAAAGAACAGCTACTAAATTATGTTAGATAAGATGACCCTTCAACCCTGTTTACAGCTGTTGTCTTGGTGTAATTATTAATAGCTCCCCCTTTCACTCCCGGAAGTATCCCGGAATACAGTACATTATGTGGTTAACCTAATCTTGATGATCTCCTCAAGGGTAGGCTCACTTTCTTTTCCTTCAGCACTAGCTAAATAACTGTTTAAGTGAGGGAAGAAGGTATAGTTAGGGGAGCCAATGTGAAGCTATTGGTGTGACATAGTTTTCAGCACCCCATGACCAGCGACTGAGGAGTGCGTATGACGCTCAGCAGGAAGTGTCCTAGCACGGGCTGCACGACTGTCCCATCCCTGGAGCTGTGCTTACCAACATCTTCAAAGTAAAAGTGGGGGGCATATTCTTAGGATTCCTATTGAACATACCCCTGTAGAGTCCATGCTCCTCCTTTGAAGTGTCTCCCTGTGAGCCCACAAAGCAGTAGAAAACATTGCTCATATAGTAGCTTCAGCCCATGATTAGTTTTACAGACACCTACTGAGAGAGTGTTGTCCACATTCCATTCTTCTCATGACAGAAGAGGCAGGAACAAAATCTTTCCCCTCTAGAATTATGCATTGTGACCCAGGGATCAGAGAATTGAACAATAAGGTTCCCTAAAGCAAGTTTTACATTTAAGGCATAATGTACAAAATAGATTCTAGAAATTCTATTACAGAACCTCTGTTTTTAAAGATTTTTAAATATTTTGTTTATTTTTAGAGAGGGAAAGGAAGGAAGAGAGGGAGAGAAACATCAATGTGTGGTTGCATCGCACATGCCCCCTGCTGGGGACCTGGCCTGCAACTCGGGCATGTGCCCTGACTGGGAATTGAACCAGTGACTTTTTGGTTCACAGGCTGGCGCTCAACCCACTGAGCCACACCAGCCAGGGCCAGAACCTTTGTTTTTAAATATCACCTCTTTTCTTGGGAGCAAATATACTGGTTATATCAATCATTTGAAAACCCTAGGTATACAGATACCAAGAAATGAATGGATACTCTTAAAGAAATTGAAAGTGTGTTTTTAACATTATGACCATTGTCTTTGGATTTGGAGGGAAGAGACGTTTTAAATTATGATGTTTTAATTCTTCTCACAAGTGGTGTTAAAGACACAGTCACATGTCCATGCACAAGCACATACACAGATGCCTCCAGCTCTTCACTTGGTTGGTTTGATAGTAAAGCCAATAATGAGTGCATTTTGTGAATTGTTCTGCAGGTGGAAGATGCTGTGCCTTCTCCCCTGACGGGAAGGCCTTAGCAGTTGGCTTGAATGATGGGAGCTTCCTGGTTGTAAATGCTGACACGGTTGAAGACATGGTCTCCTTCCATCACAGAAAAGAAATGATCTCTGATATTAAATTTTCAAAAGGTGAAGATGACAGCAAAAACTTTTAAAAATGTGTTGGGACAGGAAGTTACAACAGTGGACTATTTTCAGTATTTCCTTGACCTTTTCCCCATTTTAACTTGCTAAGTTCCTGGAAGTCAAATCTCCTATGAAATGCTCTGACATTAACTGCACAATTTTCTTTATAGATACGGGAAAATACCTTGCTGTGGCATCCCACGATAACTTTGTGGATATTTATAACGTACTTACAAGCAAAAGGGTTGGCATCTGTAAAGGTGCTTCTAGTTACATTACACATATCGACTGGGACTCTCGAGGTAAAGTATGTGGCTTTTAAAATACGGTTTTTGTTTTTAAAAAAAAGTCAGTGTCATCCATATATTGTTTCTGGAGAGGATGGCAAATGAATTTTAGAAAAAAAAAAACAGAGGGGCACCCCCACAATTTAAAAGGCTAATTTTACAACCCAGAAGCAGCTGCTGTTAACATTTTGAGTATTTTTCATTAGTAGTAGTATTATGAATTCAAGCCATTGATTGAGTTTTAAGACAGTTGAGGACATACGATGCTTCTGTTACCCTAGCAAACCACCACCTGCCCCCTGAGTTCAGCATGCTGTGTCCTCGCCTTGGTCTCCGCCCTTTCCCTGTTCCCCTTTCCCACTGATGCGCCACCTCCAGGAGAAGTGCCCAAGAATCCTCAAGCAATTTTCATTCTCCAGCAGAAATGGAAAGTTATATTCCGCGTACCTCAAGTTTCTCTGCTCTCCAGAACTCCCAGCCTACTCCCTGCCTCCTCCACGTCATGCCCACAAACACCATGGGAATATGTCTATTTATTTATTTAACAAGTTTAGCTTCTGCCATGTGCAAAGCCTTAAGCCAGAAAATGTGGAGGATCCAGAAGTGCAAGATACAGTTCCAACTCTCTGCAGAGTTTGTAATTTAGTAAAAGACACATACTAGTACCTGAATAATACAAGAGCACAAACTGGCTAAGGTGTGGGGGTAAGACATGGTGAGTCACAGAAGAAGGGCTGAGCTGGGCTGGGAACAGGCAAGTGAGCAGCAAGCAGTGAAGGGGAAGCATCAGCGCTAGAGGGCAGGGCACCTTTGAATCCTCTCCTGGGAAGGCAGCTGATGGAAAGGGCCGGGTCCCGCCTTCTGGAGAAGGTTTAGTACACTGCGGGAGAAAAGCACTGGGCTCAGTGCTGTGCCGTGACAAGGAGCTTCTGGGAGAACCCATGGAGCCTTCACAGAAGGGGTGGCCTTTGGGACAGATCTTGAGGGATGAACAGAAATTCACCCAGATGGCAAAGTGTAGGACAAGCCTTCCAGGCTCAGAAGGAACACGGTGTCCAAGATATGAAGGAGGGAAGAACAGGGGTAATTAAGAAGTAGTGAGTAATGCTGAGTGGCTGAGGGCATGAAGGGAGGCGAATGTGGAGAGAGAGACCGAGATCAGGTGTAAAGGAAGTTGAACACTGAATTTTATCCTATAGTCATTGAGAAATTCTAAGAGGCTTAGATGGGGGCATTTCCTACTATCTTTTGGAGGGCGAGTGAGCCTGGATTTGGAAAGCAATTAAAATAAACCAGGAGAAAGAGGTGATGAGGGCCTCAACCAAAAAGGTTATTCCAGAGATGCCAGGATATTTTATTTCAAGCATTTCTTGTAGTAGTAACCATAAACTTCTGCCAAGACAGGCATTTAGTTGTAACTGTACTTGCTGCACTGGAATGTGGACTTTATTTAAGCTTTACAACCTGGAGGCATTTTATACAGCGCAGTAAGGAGGAAGAAAAAATGCCATTTATTGTAAGAGGTGCAAGTCCCAACAGGGCAAAAGGAGATCAGATAAGTCCCTCTCACTCACATGTCAGGGCCACGCCGGACACAGTGCCGGTGCCGAGGGCTTAGGCTGGCATTTTGGACTGGGCAGGGCACCGGCCGCCTGAGGACACCGGCCACCTGACAGCCATCTAAGAACCAGTGAAGCCGAACAGGAACATGGAAGCAGCCACTTCTCAAACCCCTTCTTTGATATTCTCCACTTTATTGTTTGGGGGGTCGGGGGAAAGGCAGCGATTTCTTCCTATTTACTCTCTGGCTAACAGGCCGAGGTGTGCCTTCTTGTGAGGAAGATTTAGACCCGTCAGGGCCAGCCTTGTGCACACGTAAACTAGAGTACAGTGAATTTTATTTAGAATTCATTTCTCTCCCCCCGCCCCGCCCCGACACAATATGTAAAATCCCACCACTCTAGTGACCATTGGGAATTAAAACCAATTTATTATTTACATATTAGAGAGTGAAGAGCAAAGAGAAAATGGAACATAGGAGGAACACGTTTTGATCAGGAAGATTTCTTGAAAATTATTTTTAATTGTGATAAAATATGCATAACCTAAAAATTATCCTAACCATTTTTTTAATTTTTCAGTTATAGTTTATTTTCAACATTATTTTGTTTTTGTGTTAGGTGTACAGCATTGTGTTAGACAATCATATACTTTGCAAAGTGATTTCTTGATGTTTTAAGTGCCCAGCTGGCACCATGCATAGTTATTTCAGGGTGACTGCCTGTGTTCCCTGGGCTGCACTTTCCGTCCCCGTGACCGTTCTGTAACTGCCAATATGTACTTCTTAATGCCTTCACCTTTTTCACTCAGCCCCCAGCCCCCTCCCCTCTTTTTTAAAAACTAAGCTGTTTTTAAGTGTACAGCTTAGTGGGATTGAATAAATTCACATTATGGTGCAACCATCACCACCATCCATCTCCAAAACTCTTTTCCTCTTGTAAAACTGACACTCTGCCCATCAAACGATTTCTCTTTCTCCCTTCCTTAGCCTCTGGCAACCACTGTCCCACTCTCTGTCTCTAAGAATTTGATTACTCTAGGTACTTCATATGAGTGGAATCACACAGTATATGTCTGTGTGTGACGGCTTATTTCACTTTGCATAATATCCTTAAGGTTCATCCATGTTGTAACATGTGTCAAACTTTCTTTTTAAGGCTGAATAATAGTCCACTGTATGTATGTAGCACATACTGTTTATTAATTCATCTGTCAATGGATACTTGAAGCGTCCGTCTTTTGGCTCTTGTGGATAATGCTGCTGTGAACATAGGCGCCCAGGTTTTTTAGTATATACCCAGAAGTGGAATTTCTGGATCAAATGATAAATCCATTTTTAAGTTTTTGAGTAACCACCATACTGTCTTCCGCAGTGACTGCACCATTTTACGTTCCCACCAGCAGTGTACAGGGTTCCAACTTGTCCGCATCTTGGCCAACTCTTGGTTATTATCTGGAGTTCTTTTTTTGCTTTGTTTTATTTTGTTTTTGATAGCAGCCATCCTAATGGATGTGAGGTGGTATCTCATTGTAATGTGATTCACATTTTGAAAGGATTATTTTTTTTTATTCTGTGAATGTATAAGCCCTGTGTTGAATGCTCAAGATATAAAGAGGAGTGGAAAGAATAAGATCTTGGCCAAGATCTGTGGCTGCCGCCATGGAGGGGCCTGGCAGAAGGTCTGTGTAAAGGCTCTCAACGTGGAGCCATCACTTCTGCGAGGAGAGAGGCACACCTCGCTATTTCCAAATTCTGCCCAAAGCCAGTGCCTGTGGTCCAGCTAGCATTCTGGATGACAGCAGTGGCACTTAGAGTTAGGATGCTGAGGACTTCGAAAAGCCACCTCGCCTCTTGTCGTAAGTAGTCCCTTCATCAGGTGAGAGGATTAGACCAAATGGTTTCAAGGACTGAGAGAACAGAACACTTTTGACTTGGGGACAGGCGTCATACCATCTGGAGAATAACAGCAAGTGTGCTCGTGGATCTTCCCTGGTTTACCTCCGGTTTCATTGCCATGAGATGTGCCATGTTGATACTCCTGATCCGGAATTCCGCAAACGCCAGACCTTGAGAATGAGCCAGGCTGCCTCAGGACCAGCCTAGCTTTCCACAGCGGGGCCTCAGGGTCTGCAAAAGGTAGAGGGCAGGATTTAGGAGCAGGGATATGTTTCATGCCCTGATCTGGTCAAAAATAGTGAATGCATTTGCAGGAGCCAGCTGGCTCCTCACGGGCAGGGAATGGCGCAGCCCTAAGCCTTGGCAGCCTTTCGTGTCCATGGCAACCACAGGTCCTAGGAAAACCAAAAAGTGTATCAGGCCTTTGCAGAAACAACAGTTACCCCTGCATGAAGGCAGAATGCTGGAGAAAGAAAACTGTGCATGGAGAGAGAGAAATCATGGAAGGCTGTTTAATGTCTGCAATTCCTAGTTCATTTCTAGAAATATCAGGACTATATGATCATTTAACAATTAACATTTTGAGCTACAATAGGACACCTCATTCCCATTTTCATTGCCAATGGCCTGATATGTTTGGTGCATTTAGTACCAATTTTAGAATTGCTTTAACTTATAAATTATATGGCAGCTGAGATGATGTGTGTGAATCATTTTTGTGGACTATAAAGCTCCATGCACCTGCAAGATGTGTGATTCACTGTACCTGCTTAGAAATGAGGACATCTGTCTCCTCCAGTTTCCTTATTCTATATGAGCAGACATTTCTAGTGAATAAAAATCTAAGGATCCTGAAAGAATAGGGTTACTGTTATTCAGCAGTGAATTATATATACATAGATTATATGGACATTTTGCTCTTTGTCTCCACTCCTGTCCTCAGAATATTTCACAGCAGCAGGCAGCAGGGGGAAAAATGGTGACCTGGATATTTCCTCTATGCCTAAAAAAAAAAACCCTGTTAATAACAGCAGTAAAGAAAATCTGGAGGGGGGAACACATACCTGTAATTCCAGTTCCTTAACACAAGAATAGTTGATTAAAAAAAAAAAAATTCTTCACATCCTTGGTTGCAAGGAACAGAAACTTCCTCAATCCAGCTTAAATTGGAAAATAATAATAAAGGATGAGTTTATGGAAAGATGTAGGGATATTGCATAGACTCCAATAACAGGAAGCAACATCTCCGAGGAACTGGCTTCAGGAATGAACTGGAAAATGCCCAGCAAGCAAGCAGGCAGTTCCCCTCCCCTCCCTTTCTGCTCTGAGGCAGCTTGTTCCAGTGCCCACTGCTCGCTGGTGTCTGCTTTTGGCCCCTCAGTCTGCCCAGGCAAGCTTTCCTCATTCATTTGCACGTGGCCCACCCTCTGCTGCTGCAAAATGCCTCCCTCTGTCCCAAGGTTCATGTCTCATCTCAGCAAGGCACCCACTGATTCAGCCTCCTCGATTCCAGCTTTCCTGGTGAGAGTCTGACTTTGCCCGCCCCCGATCCCTGGGGCATGTGGAGGGCAGTTCTCGGGAAGGACGTGGGCTAGGAAGGTCCCCGCAGGTGTCTGTGGCTCTGCAAAGCACTTCTGGTACTGCTCTCTTGTGTTTAGATTCTGTGATATTCTTGCAATCAAAAAGTACTTTACTGAGCTATTTTAAAAGCTTTTGGTTTGTTTTCTTAAGTATGACCTTTGAAACTGTGGTGTAAACAGAGTTAGGATTATCCGAGAATTAGAATCCTTTCAGTTCTGTTAGTATCTCATGGCCAAAAAGCTTCTAAAATTAGCCATATTCAAAGAATGTTTTTTTATTGAATCCTTCAATCCTTTTCCACGTCCTTTGTTATTTGCAATCACTCTTGAGAATCCTAAAGTATATTTTGCAGATATATTTAGTTCATTGAAAATATATTAGTTATTCATTTTCTTACAATGCTAAGTAGCCAAAGCTGATTTAATTCCCTTTCTTCTTTTCTCATTTGTGTATGTATGTTTGGCCATAAGGTTGGGAAAACGTACCTGTTTCAGTGGAAACGTTTTTAAATTCGCTTGATCCTCACAGCTAAGGCAAAACCTCCTCATCCCTGTGTTATAACTCAGCAAACTACGAATGATTAAAGTTTTCAATTAGGAAACAAGAGACCCTTGTATTTGATTAATCGCCTAGAAATAGGCCTACAACTCTAAAGGGTAGCCAAGCTAGATTTCAGACCCAGGTGGCAAGCCACTTCATCATTAAAGAACATGATGTAAACCACACGAAGTTCTTATTTTGGCGTTATTTTTCCAAGAAGGACACCTCAAGACTTCTAGATGTAGTTATGGAAAAAATGGGGGAGGGGGAGAATATGTGTATGTGTGCTGATGAAATATTAGGGTGTCTGAGATTTGCTCCAAGCCGGGATGAGTGGAGGTTCAGGAAAGGGTCGGCTGCATGCTAAACACTGCAGAAGCTAAATACTGGGCACACAGAGGCTCTTTCATACTATTCTTACTTCCATGTGTGCTTGCAACTTTTCATAATTAAAAAAATGCTGGAAAAAAACACTAGAAAGTATTTCTTTTGAGTCATTTAAATGTCAAGCCATAAAGGATTATTGCTATGGTTGGAGGAGAATTAGGAAATCTTATCTTTTTCAACATTAATCAAAATGAACCCAAGATTATAATTTTATGTCACATTGAAAGACTATTTTTGCTCAACATTTTGTTTTGGGAAAGTCTTGGATTTCTCTACATATTTTCAAGTAAGGTGGGAGGCGGTGAGAAATAAGCATTTAGTTTGTTTTATGTGTCTTTATCTTCCTGTCTTTAAGCTTAAAGGGCAAATTTAAAAATTAGACCTCAGTAAGTGTGAGTGTTTGCAACAGGGTTCTCACTTCTGATGCCATAATTCTTGCCAAGCAGCCTGCTTTTACTACATCTCTGTGCTAGGAGGCAATAGGGGAAAGAGCAAAAAACATTTTCTCAGGCTTTGGAAAAAATAGCTACTTTCAATGCTACAGAGTCAAACATGACTCTTGTATTCTTGAAGGATGCTCAAGGTCAGATTTTATGAGGTCCATGTCCAAATAAAGAATCATAGCTTTGGGGTTTGTACCAGGCCATGTAATTGCCTTTACATGTATTTCTGAATAATTCACCATTCATTTACTCATGAAACTTTTACTAAAATGAATCAAAATAGTTGCAGTCATGCTTATCATTTTATAATACAAAAAAAATTCAGAGTTTAATTCTCTCTACTTCATTCTCTCATAACAGGAAAATTATTACAAGTTAATTCGGGTGCCAAAGAACAACTCTTTTTTGAAGCTCCAAGAGGCAAACGGCATACAATAAGACCTTCAGAGGTAACAATCATACCCAAAGCTTTAAAGATACATTTCATGAAGACTTAATGTGTGCATTTAAAAAACCTATCAATTCTTATTCACTAATATATGGGTAATATTTTTAATAAAACCTATCAATTCTTATCCACTAAAGGTACATTTAGTGTACCTTTCAGTGTGATTGTTTCTTAAATCTGGTTGCTTCATCTGGTTTCCTGCTTTTGGAGGATCTATGGATTTACTGTATCAGTGATGTAGCAAAGCGCAGTTCACGCTCTGCTTAGTTTTCCTGTGCCTGATGAAAACGACTAAGCTAACAATTTAGACGCTAAGTATGCTTTTATTTCATTCAACATGTTTTGTGCAAAGCTTCTTACAAACATTAATTTTTGAAACATACTTTCTCTGTGTTACTATTTGTAATAATAAGCAATATTTTCTGCAACAAGACAAATGATCTTTCAGAGCAAAAACTTTCCACGACCTGACCGTCCTAATTTATCAGACTTTCTTCTTCCCTTGTTTTCTTCATGTCCTTAGCCACATAACATAATGTTTTAATTGTTGAAATCAAAGCCTAGATAAAATTTTTGAGTCCACGAATCAACTACCTCCTTCCTAAGAGCTCAGCTGCGCAGTGCTTCCATATAATGGCCCTGACGGCCAAAGGTCACTGCCAAATTGAGCTGTAAGAGTGTCCTCTTAGTCCCGGGAGACAATATGACTCATTTATTTGCAATGTAACCTTCGATGAAAGACCAGGAAATATTTACTTCCTTTGAGGAAAAGTGGGTAAAAGTACACTGCTGAGGGATAAGCATATGCCTCTCTCTTCAGTTTGCCAGTAATATAAACTATCCCAGTATTGTCAAATACTCCCAGAGATATTTAGACACATGTACAGACATGTTTGCATTGTTTCTAAAGGAATTATATGTTCAATAGTTAAGAAACACAAGTTCTAGATGACGGCATTGTATTAATGGAAATTCTTTACTGTTCCATTTGTCTCACCTCTCCCCCCATTTCCAATTTATTTATATCTGATCAGTCCTCATTTTAACTTTTTAAAAAAATAAATGTATTGGGGTAACATTAGTTAATATCATTATATAGGATTCGGGTGTACAATTCCATAATATATCATCTGTATAGTGCATTGTGGATTCACTACCCAAAGGCTTGTCTCCCTCTGTCATCGTGTATTTGACCCCCTTAACTCCCTCACCCCCCCTTAACCACCATACTGTTTTCTGAGTCAATGAGTTTGTGTTGTTCATTTGTTTGTTACTTTTTTATATCCCACATATGAGTGAAATCATATGGTTCTTGTCCTTTTCTGTCTGACTTATTTCACGCAGCATGAGAGTCACAAGATCCATTTGTGTTGTCCCATATGGAGAGACATTTATAGCCTTGAGTAAGGGATGTTTTTAATTATGTCATTCTTCACTGAACATCCTTTGAATGTGCCAGGCACTTCATACACCTGTGTTTGAATTTTCAAAACAGCCTTGTGGGATAGTTGTTTATCTCCTTTTACATGCAGGGAAGTAAAGATTCCAAGAGAGTAAGTAGGAGGACCATGGAGTGATGATCCCAGTCCAGCGGGCTCTGTGCGTGGCTCTACCTGGATTTCTTCTGTGTATTTAAGCATCATCTTTACATCACTTCACCTGTATTTTCCCATCCTGTTCTAGTGCCCCAAAATAAGTATTCTAAAATAAAATGCAACTTAACCAAATTATGGGGGTGGGGCACGCAACTTGAGGTAGATGAGCATTAACTATGTAAAGGAATATGCGTAAGAGGGAAATTCATGTTATGAGCCTCCCTGGAATGCCAGGCTCTGGCTCTGAACAGTTCTTTGTTGCTCTTGCTGCACATTTGTTATTCCAGGGGCTGATCTCTGGTGCTGCTGGTGGGGGAGGCCCTCAGCTAATGGGTCCTCAGCCTGGCCTCCCTGGTACTGCTGTCCTTAAGAGCACCCAAGAGGCACCTTACCAATATTGTCAGGCCCTTCAACTAAGTATGAAGGATTTTGAAAATTTCCTTTAAAGAATATCCTTTTAAAGAAACAGCCACAATGAAACGAATACAAAGCTTACCCTGCAAATTGTTTAACATGACAAAGACTAAAATGTCTGTTTAAAGCCAGCTGCCGCAGCATGGCGCAGTTAAAGCAGCTCTCTGCTACGAGGCCAAGTCTCTGGACCCCAACTGCCCCTCCAGTCCCCAAGCGTGGGGCGACTTAAGTGACAAGCTCCCCTGTGGGCTTCCACAGTTGCCTCCAGAAAATGATGATGGAGAAAGCAATGCCATATCTGCCTGAGGTATGGTGCTAAGGAAGAGACCCCTGGAGAACTCTCCTTCTGTCAAAGTTCCAGGGCTGTAACAAGTTTACTTACTCCTTTTGGGGTTTGTGGGTTAAAGGGATCTTTTTTAACATTCTATTTTAAATGTAGCTTCCCACCAGTTAAACATTTGCTTCCCTTGAGAGTACAGTGTCCAGATATGACCAAGGGTGTACTGTAGGGGTGAGTGCATGGCGGGCAATACCAGCTCACCCCCGTTTCCTGCCCAGATAACGAGGCCAGGAGAGGGGCCGCCCAGGGCAGCTGTGCGGAAGAGGAGGAGGCAGGGTCTCAGAAATGGAATCAGAGACCAGAAGAGAGTCAGTGGCCCGGGGTGGCTTCCTGCTTCTCTCCCTGTGGAGGGCAGTCCAGGGCCCCCTGAGAGGCAAGGGAACCCCACTAGCCCTCCGTCTGTGGCTCTGCCCAGGGCACCCCAAGCCCCTTGGGCCAGTGCAGGTTTCTGGTTCCATTTCTGTGTATGTTCAGAACAAACACAGAGCATTAAATCAGGACCAATTTAAGTGATTAAAATATGAATAGCACAGTGACAAAAATACTGGCTGCATCTTTATCGGGTCATTTATTTTCTAAGTAGTGACAGCAGGCAGAAAATACGCAATTGGAAGCGAGGCACTTCTATAACATGCAAAGCAGTTTCCATATCCAAAGGGAGTGGTCTGGCCTTTAATTTTAGCTACAATTTCTAATGATTTTTATACTCTTCTAAACAGTCACTTAAAGTGCTTATCTGAAGAAATCATAATAAATACAGAGTTTAATTGTCTCCCTACTTCATTCTTTCATAACAGACCTTGAATGAGAGTAAATGAGATGAAATCCCCTAGGAAAGCCCAACACAGTGTTGTTGTTATTGTTTATTATTGTTTTCATTTTAAAAGAAAAGCCTCAATTTCATCGGGATTTAAGTTGTACAAATGGGAAATCCTCAGTCCGTGAATTTCAGACAAAACAGTTTTAAAGGATAAAATGTATATTCATGGCACTATGAACAGCTCTTCAGATTTGTAAGATAATCTCTCTAGAGCATGAAGAATATTAAGCTAGCTGCAGAGTCTCAGTATTCTTTCCTCCAAAGAAGCATTCCTTAAAAAAATTCTCTCTCAGACATGCCACAATAGGTTAGTGAATGATCGGTCTCATTGATTAATCTAGCTCAGTGGTTTCAGTTGGGAACAAACGCCCTAGGGACATTTGGGGTGTCTGGGAACAGCCTGGGGGAGGCGGCCCCTGGCACCCGGCGGGTGGAGGGCAAGGCTGCTTCTACACAGGTTGCCATGCACAGGGTGGCCCCTGATGACAAAGAATTATGCAGCCTAAAATGTCTATAGTACTGACACTGAGAGGCCCTAATCTCGTGTATGGCTTATGCAATGATAGATATCTAGGTAAGAACTAAAAAACTTTATTGTCAGATTTCCACAATTCCAAAATGTTCATCTGATCTAGAGAACAATATATGGATTGTTGACTGCAGTGTTGGTTTATTAAGACAATGCCTATACCACTTGAAAATACAGCCTAGGCCCTGGTCAGGTGGTTGGGGCATTGTCCCATAAACAGAAAGGTCGCCAGTTCGATTCTTGGTCAAGGGCACCTGCCTGAGTTGTGGGTTGGTCCCCAGTCAGGGCACATACCAGAGGCAGCTGATTGATGTGTCTCTCCTTCCCTACAGCTCTCTCTAAAATCAATAAGGATGTCCTCAGGTGAGGATAAAAATAGATCAATAAAATGCAACTTAGAACTGTGCACCTCAGCACCCAAGACAAATGCCTGCTGTGGGCAGTCATCATTTAGAACTACTCGGCCTCAAATTGTTCCGTTTAAATAAAACAAAAGATCTCTAGGTGTGCAAAATATATTAATTTTCTCTCCTTTTTAAGATTGAGAAGATAGAGTGGGACACGTGGACCTGTGTCCTGGGGCCCACCTGTGAGGGGATCTGGCCCGCCCACAGCGATGTGACCGATGTAAACGCTGCCAGTCTCACCAAAGACTGCTCCCTCTTAGCCACTGGAGATGACTTCGGTTTTGTCAAGCTTTTTTCCTATCCTGTCAAGGTAGTAGTGCATGTTTATTATGCGTACTTGTTCAGTCTCAATAATAACCCCGAAGCTATCCAGTGTGTCTAAGTAGATTTTTAAATATCAAAGGCATAAGCAATCAATGATGTTATCTACAGTGTGATCTTTGTTTATACTATATAAAAACCCTCATGGCATTATGTTTGCTGATTTGAGTCAGAGTCTGTGGCATAGAATTACTCCTTGGAAGGCCTTTGCTGGTCATCAAATCCAACATCTCACAAACTGCAAAGTAAGAATATTCTTTAGGACCTCTCGGACCTGTGTCTTTCCAATATGTACTGGTGTGCTTCCCGCGATGGAGAGCTTCCTACCTCACAAAGCAGCCCGATTCATTTTAAAATAACTCCAGTTGTTAAAATGTTTTTTTGTTGTATGTCAAACTGAAATGTCTTCTCTTTAGCGAAAGCTCTACCTTCAGAATCGTCATTGATCCACTCTGGTCCGCCTACAGCCTCGTCTGTTGAGGGGCTGCCTTGGCTCCCCGACATCCCATTCTCTTCAGCCCAGACACCCCCGTTCTTCAGCCATTTCCCACTGACACGGGTTTCCAGCTGCCCCCGCTCTGAGCGCACTCCTTTATACTCCAGTTTAAACTGTGTCCTTGAAGACCGAATTCAGTGCTTCAGACGTAATCTGACCAGCGCAGGGTGCATTGAGACGCTTATCTTCTTGTCTTGACTTTATATTTGTTTTAAATTAAACTAAAATGGCATCAGCTCTTTTGGCTGCCACACTGCACAACTGAATCACAGATGCCATTGCCAAAGACATCCAGGTTCTATCCCCCATCTTATACTTACACAACTGACTTTCTAAACTCTGAGTACAGAACTTTGTATTTGTACCAAATGAGGCTTATCTTGAGATTATTTTATCTCATTGTTGCAAGCTGCCAACATCTTTTTAAATACTTTTTCAAAGTATCTACTTTCTCTTCTGGCATCATGTCCTCCTCTGATTTCACAAGTGTGAGTTCTAAATCATGGAAAGAAAAAACAGACTAGAACAACGAAACACCACCACCCGGAGCCCCCATTCAATTTGACATTCCATTATTAATGCACACATTTAATTATAGTTCTTCAGGAACACATTTACACCTGTCTGATTATGCTGCCATGGACCTCACATTTCCCTCTCTAGTCCAACAAGCCATCATCAAACTTGACACATATCTTGCTAAAACCCAGATGGATTGTGTCTCTGGTATCTTTAATTTCCCCTTCCAACCAACCAACCAACCAACAAAAATATATGGGGTTAGTTCACAGTGAACCCCTGTTGCTGCTTAGTAATCATCACTTCCTTTTCCAAGTGTTTATAGACCTTCTGTGCAATAATTCAACCTAGAATTTTCCAGGGATTGCATCAACTCATAAATCAATATTTACCAAAGTCTACTTGTTTTCCCTTTAAGATACAGGAAGCTTTTTACATCTGATGTCACCTCCCCTGATTTTTAAACTTCTAGGCTGTTACTGACTCCATTTCTGTGGTCACATTTGAAGGCACCTGTACTTGGTAGATGAGCTCTGTTTTGCCCTTTCTGGTTTGAAGAGCATTCTCTCTAATAGAGGAAATAAGTGAGTCTACTTTCTGTTCATGTGATCTAAGAAGTGTTCCTAACATGTCTCTATTTTCCTTTTAGCCCTTTCTGTATAAAATCCTTTTCAACTTCCTTAGTTTTTCTGCTTTAACATTCTGAAACTACTTTAAAGTTGTCTGTGCGAGACTTTTGTATTCATCCTTGGTTATCCACCCCTCCTTCCGTCATTTGCACATTTACCTGAATACACCAGTTTCTTCCATAGCCATTCAGGTATCTTCTGTTGCACTCTTGTCTCCTTCTTCGTTTGTTAATATCCGGTTAAAGAATAATTTCTGGTGGTTTTTTCTAAGACTCACTTCTGATGATGTCCCATGTTCTCCTCATTGTTCATCCCAAATATTAAAGCCACCCGATTGCCTTTTCCCAGTGATCCATCCCTTCCCTCCCAGTTACCAGCTCTTCCTATTTGATCAGAATTCAGTTTTATGTAGCAAATTTCCTTGCTACTTCTACATTTTTTTGGAATGAGATTGCTAGCAGGACAAGTTGGGAATACCCTGGTATTAGTAGACTAAGGTTAGGCCTGTACTCAGGTAGCTGAGATCCCCAGATGCTATTCCATCATGCTCCTGTGCTGGATTTGCGGTTGGTCCTGGAATCTATCATCCACACCCCCGGCCTGCCCAGCTCTGCTCTCTGTGGCAGTCACGCACCCTGGGTTCCTCAGACTCCCAGAGTTCCTGGAGGTTCCTCAGGGACCACCCCAGGAAACAAAGTAGGGCCAATGGGAGGGGCTCTCGGACCCCACCTCTGCTTCAGCTGGAGTCCTTCTGTGTTTTGCGTGCCATCCATTGACCTTCTCAGATTTTTTTTTTTTATAATAGTTTGTTAGAAAAAATTTCAAGCATACAGCTACAGTGAAAGAAGGATACAGTACACTCCTAGAGCCCCACCACCTAGGGTCTACTTCCACGTAAGCTGTAGACATGATAACCCACATAATCCAAACACCTATCAAGATACAAAACATTGTCATCACCCCAGGAGGTTTCCCTATGCTCCTCCTGAGTCAGTCTCTACCGCCCACTCACCCTGAGGTGAAAAAAAAATATTCCTATGGTTTTCATCATAGATTAGTTATACCTGCTCCAGAACTTCATGTAAATGGAATAATCACATAGGTACTGTCCTGTGTCTGGCTTCCTTCACTCAGATGAGGTGTCTGAGATTTCCCTGTTGTGGGTAATAATAGCTGTTACTTTTTATAGCTGAGTGGAGTTCCATTGTATGGATATAACAGAGTTTGTTTATTTACCTGGCTAACGATGGACACATGTTTTGTCCAGTATTTGGTTATAATTAAGTTGCTATGAACATTTTTGGACAAATCTTTGTGGGCGTATGTTTTCCTCCTCAAGTAAATAAATAGGACTAGAATTTCTGGGTCATAGGAGAAAATGTAAGTTTAACTTTTTAAGCAACTGCCAGACCTTTTTCCATTTTACATAAATATAATAGTTCTAGCTGCCAACATTCAGTGTTGTCAGACTAGTAAAATTTAGCTATCCTGGGGAATAGGTAGTATGAACTCACTGTGTTTGTAATTTACATTTCCCTGATGACTAATGATGTTGAAGGCTTTTTATTTGTTTATTGGCCATTTGTGAAGTGTTTATACAAATCTTTTGTCCATTATTTTAAATTGGATTGTTTATCTTTTTAATCTTGAATTCTATTCTGTAAGATTTGATTGAAGCAATAGTTTCATAATTTAAAGCCACTGTCCAATATAAACTGTTCTGAAAGTATTACTCCTTTTCTCCCTCTTTTTTTTTAATCTGATTTTTCTGGCACACTTTTCTTCCAAATACGTGGACCCAACCTGATGAATATTTCCAGCTATGTAGTTACACTCTTCCACTGCTCTGGGTGTATTGGACAAAGTTCACCACCTGTTATGGACTGAATGTGTTCCCATCAAAATTCATATGTTGAAGCCCTAACCCCTAATGTGACGATAGTTGGAAATAGGGCCTTTATGAAAATAATTAAGGATAAATGAAACCCTAAGGATGGGGCCCAGATCTGATTGGATTAGTGCCCTTGTAGGAGACACCAAAGAGCATGTTCCCTCTCCATGCACAAACACACCCAGGGAAGGTTATGGAGCCCACGGTGAGGAAGTGGTGTCCATAAGCCAAGAAGAGAGCTCTCACCAGGAGCCAAATTGACTGGCACCTTTATCTTAGATGTCACAACCTCCAGAACTGTGAGAAATAAATTTATGTTGCTTAAGCCACCCAGCATGTCATATTTCCTTCTGGCAGCCCAACCAGACGAAGACAGCATCCCACTACAATACTCTAGTCTAGCATTGAACTCCATGTCATCAAGTCTTGTCGATACCTATGAGATCTTACCACCACACAGCTCTCTCTGTGTCCAAAATTTAAGTTCCATTTGTTAGACTCTCAGATCATGTCTTCTTCGTGGCCCTTTTCCTTGTTCCACCTTCCCATGAGTTACTAGGCATCTCTTCCAGGTATTTTTCTTTCCATAACAATCATCAGTTCTTATATATTCAGTTTCAGAGTTTAAAAATCTTTGCGATGAGGTCAATGGTCCCCTAAAAATCGCATTGTTTCTAGCCTTCACAAGATATACTCTCCTTTGCCAGAACTCATCCATTTTTCCAGTATGTTAAACCATGTGCAGTTCTGTCCTTTGACACCATGTATATAGTTAGCTCATTGCTTCCCATATCTCCCCTTCTTCTCCAAAGCTGTGCCCTTCCACTACACTAGAGGGGGAAAAATATCACCACGTCACCCTGACCAGCATGGCTCAGTTGGTCGAGGACCATCCTGCAAGACAGAAGGTCACCAGTTCGATTCCCAGTCAGGGCCCATGCCTGGCTGGGTTGCAGGCCAGGTCCCCAGCTGGAGTGCATGTGACAGGCAACTGATCAGTGTTTCCTCACACACTGATGTTTCTCTCCCTCTCTTCTCCCTTCCTAGCCCTCTCTAAAAATAAATAAAATCTTTAAAAAAAGAAAATATCACCTCGTCCTCCATTCTAAAGCCAAACCCCAGTTCAGGTTCTGGCTCTGGCATTTATTAACTGTTTGTCCTAAGGAGAGTTTCTTAGAATTTCTGTGACAGGTTTGGGTCTCCCATAAGGTGTGAACAAATCTTTCTCTAATTGGATTCTTTGTCATTATACGAATTATTTATAAAACATTTAGAGTAATGCTTACTATATGGTAAATGTCCCAAACTTTCAGTTTTTACTGTAATTATTATTATCCCATGTTTTTAATTCTCACCTTTCTTCAAAGTTACTGTGGACTTTGTCATCCCTGAAGATGTTACCTATACTCTCATTCATCTAGAAATTAGCTATAATTTAATGTATAATATCTAGAACTTGTCTATTGATGACCCTTTGTTGAATTTATGTGTATTTCTTTTGTTTCTTGGAAAATGTAAAATCATGAGTAATTTAGCAACCTCATATCTTCCATTAGAAAAGTGTAATAAAGCAAACCTAAGGATAAAAAACATATCACTATGTCATTTACATTTTTAAAACCCACCCTTAGGTTCTTAAGCTTCTTTCTCAGACCGCCAAAGCCTCAAGAGAATGGTTCTTCAAAGAGGAACGTTGTACATAAAAGTTTTCGTATAGAGAAACTGTGTGTGAAATGTTGTGAATGTGGGGAGAGGGTATGTAGCTTTCACCAGATTCTCAGGGATTTCTCCCCTAAAAAAAGGTAACAGCCAGCACTCGGGGGACATATTGTGGCCTCTCCACTCTTCAGCACTCAGTGGGAGAGGAGAGCTTGGGACTGAGTCCTGCTGGCTCTCACGGAAGGGCAGAATTTTCCATGATGACCCAGAGGATGGTGCACCTGACTGGCTACGCCAGATCGTCAGGAGGCCCCTTCCATAAGCCCTAAGAGAACCACCTATCATACCTGCCAGCCGCCTTCTTCCAGGGGAGCAGCTAGTTTCCTGGAACCTTCTAATAACTGTGAATTCCTTTTATTGTTCCACGGAGCAGTAATCTTGCTTCCTATTCTGAGAATCTTGAATCACCCTTTGTTGGAATTGACCCAGAAATGTTCCCTTTTTCTCAATCCTTTCATCACTTTCTTTCCCTCTTCAAAGATTCTGATCACCTTAGGATATCTTTCCCCTCGAACCTTTCTTTTTGGATTCTTTTTCCCATGCTGTCTAGAAACCCTGTTCCTTCATTTAAGTCGGAGTATGAAGAGGCTATTTCGCAAACTCTTTTACTTTCTCCTTCTCTCAAGAAACCAACTTGCATAATGGGTTGGTTCTTGCTTCCAGCAGGAAGACCAGCAGGACATCTGGCTGCAGCCACCGTGAATGTTATCTTTGTGCCCACGCCTTCTGGGTCTGACATGCTCACCCAGTGGGTTCCACTGGAAATCCTTATGTTTCTCTGCTTGTTTGCTTAGCAAACGAGGAGCTGTGGAGGGCTTCCTGGAAACGCTGCCTGCCTGTTTGCTCCTACATCCTTCTAGACTTAGTACTCTGCTGAGGAGTGGGCAGTCCCCTCTGCTGTCAGGTAGGGAGGGGTCAGCCAAATCCAGAGAGGTCTCGACCAGGAGTATTTTCCAGTCACTCGCTCTCCTGCACCTGTCTCCTGCGTGTTTGCGGCGGTTTCAGGTTCCCCAGCACGCCGGTCCAAAATCCTCTGGGAGTCCTCTTGCCTGTTATTGAATAAGTTTTTACCTGGGACACTGACGGCCCTCTCATGACTTTAGAAAGCACATGCAGCTTCCCACATTGCGTAAGGTATTCCCTGGGAGTCGCTGAGAGGATGGAAAAACTCCTCCTTTTCAAATGGCTCCCACCGGATCTGTTTTTGCCAGACTGCAGCTCACGAGCCAGAAATGGAAGCTGGCTGCCGATGGCAGCTGCGACTCCCGCCACTTGTCAAGGCTGCCCCGGAGTGAGCCACCGGCTCACATTCACTTGCCCTTCCCACCAAGCATGCCGCTCTGAAGAGCTCGCGGTAATTACTAATAAACTGGGTTCTAGTTACTTGATTGTGTTTGTTGAAAAGCAGCTTACTTTCTTTTCAAATCAATTAGTTGAGTGTTTCCAGTGTTAGAGACTGTTTCCAGTGTCCACGGCCGAAACTTATGCATGTTTTAAATCTTACTGAGGCCCCGGGATTAGAAGAAGTCCCTTGCTGTTCTGCTCTAGTCTGGGCTTTGGTACAAAAACCACTGTGGGGGATGACTTGGGAGGACACTCCTGATCTCAAATGTCAGCCAGACTCTCAATCAGGAGTTTACACTAGAGAGCTGTGGAGAATGCACATTTGATATTTGAGAGAAACAAGCTTTTTATACGTCTTACACTCCCAGAAACAGGTTCTATGGTCTAACATTGAACTTGTTCCCTTGCAAACTATTGAGGACCTATGATGAGCCCGATGATGTTTTAGGGGAAAAAAGACACCTAGTCCCTGCCCTCTTGGAGCTTACATTCTAGAGAAGTGCTGCTTAAATATTTCTTTCATGTCCAGTAGAAGCCACTGCAGAAAATAACATGGATGAAAGAATCCGGAGAGGGGGGCGCTGAGACTTGGAAGGGGTAATCGCCCGTTTCTGGCTTCTCAGGGCCAGCATGCCAGATTCAAGAAGTACGTGGGGCACAGCGCACATGTCACCAACGTGAGATGGCTGCACAACGATTCTGTGCTGCTCACGGTAGGCGGCGCCGACACGGCCCTGATGATCTGGACCAGGGAGTTTGTGGGGACCCAGGAGAGCAAGCTGGTGGACAGTGAAGAGTCGGACACCGACGCAGAAGAGGATGGAGGTGAGTCCTAACTGCCACGCTTCAACCGCACCTTCCTCCCCATCCCCTCCTGAGCCGCAGGAAAGCCCACTCCACTCCCTTCCTCTTTCTGTTGTTTGAGGCTATGACAGTGACGTTGCTAGAGAGAAGGCCATTGATTACACCACCAAGATCTATGCTGTCAGCATCAGGGAAATGGAGGGCACAAAACCACACCAGCAGATGAAAGAAGTTTCCATGGAAGAAAGGTATGGTGTTGCCAGGTTTGTTTGCATTTATTATACCTGATGACAAGAAACTCATGTGAACCACAGTGCACTTTCTATACCCTTAACGATGCTTCTAAAGCTAGTCTTTTGTGTGTATGCACACTCTTAACTTGCACACAGGCTTAATTTGGGGGAAGTTGTCAACAGCCCTCGATATATGCCAAAGGGTGGTTATACTCTGCCAAAGCTGTTCATGGAGTATGACTTGAATAACATGAGATTTGGTTGGACTGGGCTTCTCTTGCCCAGAGAGGTCATCGGGATAGCCAAAGGCTGTCCTGAGCATGACGGCTGCAAGGAGAGCATGCTGAGGACAGGTAGGCGGGACGCAGCCTTCCAAGGTCATGAAGGGAGTATTTGTGGGGTGTGAAAAATAATCCTGCCTTCTAACCAGAGTCTGTGCATTGCTCTGTGTCACTTGGCATACCTTTTCTTACCGTGTCTTCACCTGCCCACGTTTGTGCAGGTGTGTTTGGCAATTCCAGGCCTATTTGATTTTGTTGTCTCAGATCCTCTGTGTAGAAGGAAAGTTGCTGGTAATATTTTAGGCCTTTTTGATGTGCCATTGTAAATTGTTACTGTGAATCATAAGAGAAATTGTTAAATACTTTAACATTTGTTAAAAAAAAGAAAGCTCATAATTACTACTTATCATATTCATAGAAGGAAGGATCAATAGCAAAGAAAAATGTTTAACATCTAAAGAGAATTTCATGGCTCTTGAAGATGTTTAAGAACTCTCTGTGGAGTCTTCACTCTGACCTGGGGTCAGCGGTCACACGGACCCTGGGGCCATGATGTGTATAACTGATGAGTTATTTTTGGCATTCAGTATGGCTTTCTGCCTAACAATAACTATTTAATAAAGCTGACCTAGCACCTTTTACTGTTAGGCAGGACTTCAGATACAAAGAAATAAAATGTCTTTTCTCCCTCCTCCTTCAGTTCAGTGCCAGAAGTTAAAATAAGCTTGATAAATGGTGGGCGTGCTAAAGGCAAGAAGACCGACTCTGATGTGAAAAAAACCCTAATTCTTGCCTAGCATCTTTGTTAAATGTTCCTATAAAGGTTCCAATTTCTGTTTTGATTTTTAAAAAATTATAGAGATTTCCTGTATTAGTCTGTAAATTATAGTTTATTCTGTTTGCAACATGGTTTTTAAGTGGCCAAAATGAGAAAATTTGAAGGACCTAATTCTAGGAATAAAGAACCATATGCACATATGTGCGTGAATAAGCCTTCCACTTAAATAATCTACTCTAAAAAAACATTTGGCATAAATTAAACATTGTTTTGAAAGAAAATTGCCCAACCTTTCCAGTTTCACATAACATTATGTAATGAGTTGACTTGGCTACTAATCCAAGGTTGTTTGTGGCTGATTTCTACAAGTGCTAAATCATGCTATGATTTAGACTGGACATTAAGATATAGAAATCTAACCAAAGTCCTAATTTCAAACACTACAATTGCTTTCTTACCTAAACTGAGGCTCATCTGAACCTTTCTTGGTCTTGCTGTCTCTTTGGGCAGGTCTATAAAAATCTCATACCTGCTCAATGTAGGAAGAGGTGGGTGAGGCGAATGTAGAGATGACCCTAAGAAAAATTTTCAATCTTAAAATCCAGAATTTTGAAGCTACCTCATTTTTCTTCAATGTGCCAGATTGGGAACATTTTCATAACATACACAAGATTGGCTTTTTTTTTTTTTAAATACAAAAGAAAAAAATGCGTCACAGATATAGGGGGAGTGATTTTAGTACTTTACTGGCATTTTAAAAAATAATTCACACCAGGGTGCAGTGAAGAAAACATGTAGTGAAGAAAACAATTTTAAGATAAATATAGGGTCTAGAGGAATAATCAGGCCTTTTCTCTACATAGCAATGCCTTTGATAACTTAAAAAGCCTTCACAGCGTCAGTTCCCACAGGGGCTGAAACCAGAGAGCAGAATGCCAGCTGCACAGCCTGCTGGGAGCAAAGCGGGGGCCACTCCTTGAGGAGGAGGGGAGAAGGAGCAGTAAATCATGTCTGAGTTAACAGCCTCCACGGTGGGGAAGGGTGGAGGGGGGGTATCCTAATCAGGACCAGGAACAAGCCACTAGTCATCGTCACTAACTGTAGGGGAGCTTGAACCTCGGAGACAGGACTGTAGGCAGCTCCGCAACTGCAGAAGAGACAGACGGGTGTTGGGCAAGGCAGGGCCTTGGGAGAATTTGTGAGGAAGCAGGAGGAGAAAGGAAAGGTGGGGCAGGAGCCCTTGGGGCAGGGAGGACACCTAACAGTAAGTCTGCAGACAGCTCATCCGAGTCCTCACCTGGGGTACAAAATGGGTTCCAGTACCCCAGGCAGGAGAGGGAGGCAGAGGCGGAGAAATGCTGGGGCCTCAGGCTGCAGGAGCCGGCCGGGCAGTGCCGGGGTTCTCCGCGGAATGTTCCGGGTGGCAGCTGTGACACTGCTCCCTTCCACTGCTTCAAGCCCTGCTGATTCCAGGGGCAGAGGCTCCTCTTGACTTTCCCTGCATTGTTCCTTTCTGGGTATAGCTGCAGATACCTGCCTACACCTGGGTGCCTTTTGTTAACACCCAGGCCAAGATGTGTACCCATAAGGCTAATGGGAGACAAAGACTCAGGAACCACAAGAGACATAAGCCTGGAACACCCATTCAGTGCCTGGAACTATTTTGCCTCTTACCAAAGTTTCAGATTGTTCTACCTCTGGTTTAAATCCACCCTCCTGCCCCCTTACAAACCAGGAGATGAGTGTGGCATCTGGCATACAGAAAACAATGCCTTGAAGGCATTTGCACATTACACACCCATCATTTTTTTTTAAGCAACTCAATTCTTAATTCCTAAAATTTAAGACAGTCACACATTGTTTCAAATTCAGCTCCATTATTTGATTTTAAAATAGCTGTGAGGCTTTAGATTATCTTTCCTTGCACTCAAATTTCTTTAACACATTGTGAGTTTTTATTCTTCAGAAGTCATCCGATCTCCAGTTCCAGTCTTTTTGAGAAGTTGGAAACTGAGAAAAATTGTTAATTGCTCTCTAAAGAATGCTGGGCTAATCCCGCCAACGTGTAATCCCTTCCAGGTGTTTATCGAGTGTCCTGGTCACCCCCTTCAACTTTGCACTAACACACTGGGGGCCCTTGCGCCCAGGACCCTGGCACACAGGGCCAGCCCATCCCAGCCCTGGACAAGCTCTTGGGCATCCCAGCCACTCAGCTGCTTTGTGCGGCCTGTGCTGAGGAAAGACACTGGCGCCTTTCCAGTGTTGAGAATCCGTGCTTTCAGACCTCACCTGGGCCTCAGCGCTGCGCCCCCAGCGCTCTCCTTCATCCCTGCTGACTCCCTCTGCCCCGGGTCTAGAGCAACTTTTCCAGGCTTCCTCCGCCTCTGGTTCCCAACTCCAACCTGACACTCCCCCTCGCTCTGAACTTTTGACCTCATCTCCTACTTTATCTTGTTCTCTCATAATGTAATAGCGGTTTTGTCCATCTGCAAACTTAAATTTATTATTTAATAAATATTTTAAATGTCAGGAAGTTCCTTTTGAGAAAAGAAAAAACAGGAAGGGGGAAAGCATAGGTATGAAATGCTGACCATCATCACAGCACAAGGAATGGTACCAAAATCCTGTCTTCCGACTGGTAAGCGCAGTTCTCTCAAACGCATCAGGGCGCAAAATCCCTGAGGTTTGCTCAATACCAGATTAGTAGGGTTGCCTATAAAATTACAAAGTGCCTTTCAATACATTGTCAAGGTCACCCCTTGTTTACATCTGTTTTTTTTTTTTATTTATAAGGCAAGTATTTTAGTTTCAAAGGGGTTGCTCAACCCAAACTGGTCTAAGCAAAAGGAATCCATTGGCTCACACACATGAAAATCCAGGGGTAGGGTGACCTCAGGTGTCACTTGATATGGGAACTCAAACCACGCTGCCAGGTCTTTGTTCTTTCTCCATATCTCAGTTCTGCTTCCTCTGGGTTACTGAAGTTATTCAAGTAGGAAAATGGGGATAGTACCTGGACCTCACCAGTTCTGGGGTCAGAATCAGCAGGAAAGAACTGCCTCTGAGTCGTAGGTCCCCACAAGTGCTTTATGATGTGCGGTTGGCCCTGCTGGGTCACATGACCACCCTCGAATCAATCATTATCTGGGAAATATGAACCTTTGACACTTAGTAAGTAGACACATGCCACCTATAGATGAGCCGTGTAGTCACTGCCCCCAGAAGTAAAAATTCAGGACTGTTATCAAAATCAGAGTGACTGATTTCTGGACGGATGCAAAACAGCAAATGTCTACTGTACTGCACCCTTTTCTTGTCACATACATATATTTAAAATACCCCAAATTAAATTATCGCACTTAGGATTGGAAATGCAGTTATCCTCTCCCCAGAGAGAGACATCTCTGAGTCTCAGCCAGTCCCTGCAGCCAGCCCCACGTGCAGGGTCTCCGGGAGTGTAGCCTCCTCTTCTGGGACCAGGTAAAGCTCCTCACCGTCCTGGGGCTAATGATAACGTCAACCACCAGAGCATGCCAAATAGTGGTGACGAGAGGACCGTTGTCTCAGACTCTCACTCGGAGGAAGGGAGAGAGACAAACACGCAGTGCTCACTGGTCCGTGTCCATGTCATCCTCAGCTGAACAGCACAGTCAAGGATTCTTGTCCTGTCGTGTGCATCTTTTGCATAACTGGACAGTGATAGGAATGTTGAAAGATGCCAACAGTCAGAGCATGTAAAGGTTTTGTTTGTCGTTATGAGAAAGGACACAGACACGTACCGAAGTGAAAACATCGCTGCCCTCGTAGAGGGCCAGCCTCCCAACTCTTCCAAATTCCTCCTGGGACGTGAGCGATGCCCCTGTGGAGTAAGCATTGTGCCCGGCACCAGAAAGGCCCCGTCATTCTCATGGGAGCGTTCATAGCCTCTCACCCTCCTGCGACTGCCTCCTAGAATCAGAGACGCTCTGGCT